AGAATTAAGTGCAGTAATGTCTTGCTTTATTACAGATGTCAGTTCTTGGATCTCCGCAGTTGGATCATCAAACACTGATGTTCTCTTTGCCACTGATAAGACACAAAAATAATACTGTTTAACTTCTACCATAAGCACTAAATAAATTTCAACCCATGTTAATTGCACTCTCTGCAGTACCAATTTTACAGCACTGAAATCCAATATTTGGTGTCTTAAAACAAAGCAATGAGTGGTCATAAGTGGAAAATGGATCAATTAGAAGGAGATATTTCACACACCAAAACAACAAACCAAAGCAAACAGCAACACTCGCAAAAACTATTGGGATGAGTGCTTAAGCTAATGAGACCCAACAAAAAGGAATGTATCTTCGCAGGAGTTCATTCTAACAATCAATTATCTAGAAAGGTACTTAAAAAAAGGATGGGCTCATATGAAGCATTTTCCATAACTTAAGGAAACGAAATGTAAGCAAATGACATCCCACAAATATATGCATAAAAATTTACATGTAAAACACCAAAGAACTGTTACACCGTTGTTGCAAGTACAAATAAATCAATAAAATGTTATAGATTAAAAAGGAAATGATCAGATGACGTATCCTGTTGCTTGTAATCTCAAGATAATTCCATAAATTTACAGGTGCAATGTTTAGTGATTACAAAGATCAACTTGAAATTATAGATATCCTGGGATTTCTTTTGTTGCATGTAATAAATATTAAGGTTCAACATGGTTACGAATCTTGTGATTACAAACAAATTGATAAAAGTAATACTTGCCTAAGTATTAAGTTCAATTTGCAATTATCAACCAAATAAAAATTCTAGCTGTCATTCTCTATGAAAATCCAATAGGCAAGCAAGCACTCTGCTGAAATCAATTCTCCTTATTAGCCAGCTTGCTACATGATCTCACATGTAGAAATGAAAATCAGCATAACAACGTCCTGAAGCCTTTATTCAACCAATTTTTAAGCCAACCTATGCTCCGTATGACCATACAGTAGATAAATTCAGTACAGCATAATTGTGCTTAATCCTTATGCCTTTCAATAACTCGTGGAACAAGTCCTCATTACATCTTTATTTTAAGGCCAAAGATACCCAGTTCGGAGGACATCTCCTCTGGAAACCTACTGAAGGTCTAAAATCAGAACCATTCAGATATTATAAGAACATAAAACCCTTTTGGCAAACAGTCAGCTAGATTTAGTTCATACAAGATCGAAAAAAATGCCATTGCAAAGTGTGGACCACAACCTTTAAGCATTTGGATCAATCTATCGTGACTCTGGACTGACTGTAGCTCTAAAATCAAGTTTATGGACTCCAGCTCAATGCTCAGTTATAGGTATATAACTATTTTTTATAAAAATGATACTTGTGTAGCTTCCATTTATTCCTAATAATTGCATGTCATGCGTAACACTCACCTCCATCCTCCATCATGCGTAACACTCATAACAACGATAGACACACACCTAGCCCAGCATGTTCATATCATCACCACGTCACACCATAGCTATCAGTTACACAAGATGCTTTGCCACCATTTTCCTGACTCCATCCGCATCATTACTAATGAAATCATCTTACCCAAAAGCAACCACTAAAACCACCCAGCAAACCAAGACAAGGTACCGCCGCAATCACATGCATCAAATACCAACCAGAGGAATACTACTTTCATTCCACACAACAGCATTATCAACCTGGAAAACCTCATAACACCTCCTAAAACCTTTCTAATCGTGAAAAATTAAAAACAGAGAAAAGAAACAAATTCACAAATACAAATTCAATCAACGGTACCTCCTCTGCCCTAACTTCCTCGTTAAGGATGCAATTAAGTTAAGTTTTCTAAGTGAAAATGCATTTAAAAACACATTCAAACAATTAATTACAGAAAAGCAAATAAGTAAATAAGCACAAAATTCTATAAACTCTAACAACTCACGCTTTGCGAGCTTCGCTAGCTTCTGCGATGTCTGGTGGATACCGAACCCGATCTTCGAGGCCCTTTTGTTGAACTCCGAATGAACCGCCACCGCAGATCTCCGATCCTCGATCTTCCCACCGACGCTACTGCTACCATTACTCAACACCGTATTGTTGGTGGACTTTTTTAGCGTTTCCGCTACGCTCAAAAGCTCCTGCGTTCGGTCCCGGTAGGACGACTGCCCAGATTTTCCGGGCATTTTTTTTTGTACAATTGTATCTAAAGACAATTTTTCCTAAAAGTGAAAAATTCGCGTAATTTCAACACATTTTCGTGATAAATACTATCATTTTTCTTTGGGTGCGAAGGGAGAAAATTTTATGAAAATCTGAGAATGAATTGGGAAAATTCTAAAACCGCAAATTAAGAAATTGGTTACAAGTGTGAAGCTCGAAACGTCGTCGTAAGCAAAACGGGAAGCAGGGAAGGTATCGAGCTTAGCTAGAGTTACAGGGAACAAGGAAGAAGCAAGAAACCCAGCAGATCTAATGATCTACCTTATGTCGATTCGGGTTCGGGTTAAATATGTTCGCCCAGCGTCGCGCGCTCTCATATTAAGCCTTGCCACAAAAACACAACCTTCTTTGTCGTTTTATCACGCCAGTACATTAAACTTAAAGCGTGCCAATATTCTTTTTTTTTTACATCCAATATTACTATATAGGTTATTTTTATCACTAGCTGTGGTTGGACGTGATAAATCAAAAGGTGCGACACTTCATAATTAAAAATGAAGATCTTTCATAGTTTATATTATCATGATAATTTCAAACAACTTCTTACATGATATAATTATTAAATATATTATTATTAGTAAATTTCATTTATATTTTTATATAATTTTAACTTTTTTCACATAATATTTTATAATATAATAAAATTTATTTTATTATCAGGTATGTGAAATATATATATATAATAAGCAGCGGTGGCATTTATGGGATGATGATAAAAAGAATATAATCCAAATGGTTTGTATAGAAATTTGTTCTTAGTAAGATCATAATTTCATAGCAGAAATGAAAATAGTACAACAAATACTCCAACTAGTCTCAGTGAAACATCCAAAAGATCACCACCATGAAGCAGCATGGAAGAACCATAAGCTATCATGACTGGGAACTGGCAACCTTCCTCAGATGGATTCTCATCAGTGACTGTAGCCAGGCCAGAGAAATCGCAGTCCCAAAAGTTCTGGTTGTTAACTTGGTAGTACATGTTGAAAGCATAGGATGCATTTCCTTCAGCAGTTAAGTGGTTACACGAGGAACCATAACCCAAAGCCGTACAATCCGATAAGCTGCAAGCATAATCAATACTTTTAGGCAATTCTCCCATATCAGTTGCTTGAGTGTTGAGAACACACCATCTTTTTTGTTGGTATTTCACATCCTCTACTGGAGCTAGGCCTTTATCAACTTCCAAGCCTGTTAAATCCAATTCATATTTTGGCTTTCCATCGAACTCGAAAATCCCCCAATGTCTCTCAAAGCCACCAGGTTCAATGCTTTTAGCATTTTCATCGAGGAGGCTGAATAGATAAACTTCAATCTTACCTTTCCGAGCTGGGGTTCCGGTTCCACTCAAAGCATGCTTGATCAATCCTTGGTTAAACCTCTTTGCGTTCTGGATGTTGGCGTTTTTGTCACCATCAGTTGGCCACCCAACTTCTCCAACCATGACCTCCATGTCAGAGAATCCAGCTTTACTCAAAGCATAAATGAGAGTATCAAGGTTTGCATCAAATGCATTTCTGTAAACATTATTACCATCTCTAAGAGGCTTGCTTGTTCCATCAAAAAATGCAAACTCCACAGGGAAATAATCGTTCCCATAAAGGCTGAGGAATGGATAGATGTTGACAGTGAAAGGTGCATCATGTAAATATAGGAACTGGATTATTTCAATAGCAAGGTTCTTGACCTCGGGCCGAAAGTCACCAGCAGATGGAACTGGATTGGATTCTGGGGAGTTGTAGATGTCAGCATTAAAGGGAACCGTGACCTTGTAATGACACTTAACCCCAGATTCATCAAGGGCTTTCTGGATATTTTTAAGAGCTGGTAATGTGTACGGTAGATAGGTGCCATTGTATGTTTGAAGGAAAGGTTCATTTCCTACAGCTACATACCTGCAAAACCAATTTTTCAAAGTAAATCCATGTTTAAAAAACCAAAACTGGTTTTAGAATTTTTTTTTTTCCAGACAGCCAACAACAGTGAAATTACTTACGTAAGGACGGAACTTTAACTATCAAGCAGGACATGGAAAATGACTACTTTGATATGCAGCATTTTCAAAAGCTCAAAAATGACTACATGAAAGGGTTTTACTGAGCTAAAATGTTTCCAGAAGATCCTGGAGAATCCAAGTAGATGTTTTCCCTTCCCCTCTTTTAGATATGCAAATATAGGGTCAGGCATCCAAGTGGGAAAACCCCTGTGAAATGAGTCACCTCCAGCTAATTTGCACGGGAGAGGATGCCTTTTGACTGGATGCGGTTCTGCAAATGTGTGTGACCTTTTTTAGAAGTGGAGTGTGTTGCTGTCAAAGGCTTGGCAGGACCTCAGACAAATTGCCAGATTGATATTGACGGCTAAAGAGGTGGACCATTGACATAAAAATCCACTTACAAGGAAGAGTAGGGCTCCAGATACCCAACAATAAGGGACTCAATATTCTTTAACAGAATCCAGGAGTCTGCCCATCCTAGTCTCATGGAGAACAAAAGGCTTAAATGATGAAAGTTAAAACCGTTGAAGAGAAAAATAACCAGTGTAATAAACCAGGAGGAACCATTTGAAAACTGCAAGCTGATTTCCAAGAAAACAGAGAAACAGGCTGAAAAGCTAACATCATGACTGACAAAGCAAAGAACTAACAATGAAAAAGGGAAATGAGAAACCCGACTCAAGAAGTCCGTTGAAAGATAAAAAGGGAGAATCTTGTGAGTGAAAAATTTATAAAACAGTCCAAGAAGAATAGATCATGAAGAAATGTAAGGCAAGAAAAATCATAAACTGGGAGAAACTGTGTTACTCAACTTGATATTGACTCCCCCATCATAGCAATAACCACTGATGTTATTATAAACATAAGAAGCAGCAGCTCCTGGATCCTCACTCATCTCCTTCAACATGCTATTCGGAATTCCCACCATCACTTCAATATCTGTCCCTGTAAGAGCCGTCATAATCCCCTCATTGTACTCAAAAAGCTTCAACTTATCGAGCCCATTATCTCTCAGCATTTGCACCACATTATTTGGAGGGAGTTGGTGAGTTGCCATGGTTCCCCAGTTCACTCCAACAAGATTTCCATTTGGAACCAGCGGCATTAGGGCAAGAAACAACAATACCAAGAGACATCGGCAGTCTAACATTCTTTTTGGTGACATTTTTGGTTTCTTTAAAGGGGTTCTCTTGGAATCTTTCTTGGATTCAGAAAGAATCAAGAATGATGACTGGGAGCAAAAACAATGATTGGGTTTTGGAAGGTGGACGTATTGGATCATGCAAGACAGTTGGAGAGAGAAAGGGGAATATTTTCGGTGCTTAGTCCGGATTTTATATGCCCCGGGACTTGGAAAACGAGTAGAGTACAACACTCTCTGTCTCTCTCTCACACACACACACTTTTTATTTGCTTTTGGGATGCTTCATGGCCAAGTTGAGGGATTTCTTTTAATGGTTTGGCTTTACTAAACAAAAGCAGAAAAAAGAGAGAGATATTGGAAGATTCGTTGCTTAATTCAGTTATTCAGTTAAATCGTTTCCAGAGCATGCTGATTTGTGTCTCAACATGGTTAAGCTATATTTGTTTTAAGGACAGAAGCTTGTCCCATTTGGCACGCTTCTTAACTCGTCTTCGCCTTAACAATAAAAAGATCAGTCATCTTCACACAACATCGTTTAACTCTGTGACCATGAATTCAGATTAGATCATATAAACAAATGCTGTCCCGAGTGTATTTCCTAAGTTTAGAATCAAAGAACTATTCTAAAAGGTCATCTACACTAGTTAGCGTATCAAGCTTGGCATTGACTTGGGAGTCAAGGCACAGCGAAAATAAAAAGACAAATTCATCTAGCACAACACAATACAAAGTTAGGAGACCATGGCATTAGCTTTACAGCTTGAGTTGAGATCCCATTGACTGCTTTTTTGAACAAGATATAAAGAGAATCCTCTAAATGTTAACTTTGCGCCCAACCTACGTGCTAGGTTTTATTTGTTTTCACCTTGCCTTATCTGGGCGATTTCAAAGGCCAATCCCCTTACCACTGCCAGTGGGGCAAAGGCTTTTATTTTTTTCTGATAGAAGAAAGGGGCTTTTTCTTTCTTTTTTATCTTTTTGTTGTAAAGTATAGGGCAAAGTTCACCTCCACCCTTTAGGCCCTTTATATGTTTACACAAGGGAACCATGGCCAAAGAAATCGCTAACTTCACCCTGCGAGACACTCTGCGTCCCAAAAGCCTTCTCTGAAAAAATGCCACTTAGGATACCAGGGCCTGCCGGTACGAAAGAGCCTGGATTATGAGCCTAAGTGTTGGAGCAACCTAACTCTCTCCAGATGGTCCATTGACTGAATCAAAACTGGAACATTTTATTTTCTTCCTCATAGCAGTTTTCATCGTTGGTTGGCTTATAGATGGAATCCAATTTTTATACAGGGCAACGTTTTTGTGATGCTAAACGACAACTATTGGCCAGTTTTTACGTTGAATTTAACTTTGGTCTAATCTTCGTGAAGGTGATTCAATCCTAGCTATAGGATCAAAATTATACGGTAAAAATTGGACAGTGATGGCTTTAGGAAGAACAGCTTGTTAACAAAATAAGCAGTTACCAGTTACCAATGTTTAAAACTCGACGTCAGGATGATTTCTTGGATGAAAACTGAAAACCAATGGCCCCTTTTTGTGCCCAAACTCTCAACTTAAGGAAGCAATGCATTTGCAATTTACATGCAAGTCTAAACTCTACACCAACGTTCAGTTACAGGGCATCCAGGAGTTTAGGGAGATTTGAGAGAAAGACAGATCCATGAAGAAAGAATTTCCACAATTAATTTTCGGCTTGTTGGACAGTCGTACACATGAAAGATACAGGTTTCTCCCCTTGTAATACATCCGGTAATAACACCATTTGAGCAGGTGGGATCGATTAAATTAGTTGTCTTACAAGAGACAACAAAAGGTGAATATACATCCGCGACAAAACAAAAGTCCAAGCAAACGAAAAAAGAATGCTGGGTTAGCAGCGCTGTCAAATATCTTTAGTTTGTCAGCTATCTAGCGTTAGAATGCCACAATGGGGACATTGAAGAGACGTGTCATAATCCACCAGTAAAATGACAGGTACTGTCAGTGATGTCTTCAACAAAGCATGCTTCTGGCAGCCTAAAGCTTAAGCAAAACATCGCCTGCACCATAGAGAATTGGTCAAAATAGAGGCCGCAATTGCAATCCATGCAAATTAACAGGGATTGAGGGGGGAACCAAAAAATTATAATAGATGCAAATCCCAGTAGTTTGTACCTTGTTAGGTGCTACGTCCCTAACCCTATGAAATATTGGGTCCTGTATTTTGGCATTTAAGGCAGTCTCTGCCTCCTGTAGAAGAGATGAGAAATCAGATGCAGATAACTACATGAATAAAACAATGAGAGATTAACCAAGAAATTTGTGCATCCTATGGACCTTGCCAGATGAACTAGATTGAAAGTGGCTTATGCAAAGGACAAGAAATTAAAGGGAAAGAAAGCCATCCATGTAGGGGACTGATATAAGCAACTTCAAGTAGTTGGTAGAAAGATTTGAAAAAAAATAAAAGAATAATGAAATGACCTAAAACTTCTCAATCCAAGAACTTACCCCAGATAACATACAAAACTATTTAAACAAATTACGAGAGAAATACAACTTACAACGCAGCAAAGCAAGACTTACGGATATTATAAATTCTTTAGTTTCAGTTGCTCGAATGAAGCAATAGCAGTGAACCAATGGAAGAGGCCCCTTCCAATGTTTTCTTGAGATAATACCCCTAAATGCATCTGCAAGAAAAAAAAAAAACTTTTTTGACTAGATATTCTGTGCAGAGAAAAATCATGAGGCAAAATATAGCTGAAATGGACAAGTAATTACAAATAATAACTGTTGTTCTCTCAATAGAAGATAGCAGAAAACAGTGTTTTAAAAAAACAAACTGGACCAGCCAATCCATCCAGTTCAATGATAAACCAAAGGCCTGCTTGGTCCAAAAGAGTCATTTAACCACCTTTAGTATCAAACTGATCAAGAACCGGTTAAACCACTTTGAACCAGAATTAAACTGGTTTTATCTCATTAATTTACTCTTTATTCTTTCAAATAATGTTGTAATTGGAGAGATTCAAACCCATTCCTGCTTAGCCTTTACCTAGAGGCTTTTATCATTAAGCCAAACATGTTTTTGTTAACTATAGAGCATATTTAGTATATATCAATAACAAAAATATATTTTTAAATAAAACAACCTTCAATTGGACCAGTTGAAGCAGGAACAGGCCCCCTCACCGGCTTGAAAACTGGTCCAGTGATTAAATCTTTGAAAAAAGTATCAGCATTGGGTGAAAAGTTGTATGTGTGGACTGGGTGATATGTGGACCGGTGATCACCCAGTCCCTTTAACTAGGGACTATTTCCCCCTCACCTCCACCCTGGGGTGAGGGAAAAAGGATGCATTTGTAATGAAGAAACAAGATCAAAAGGATGCATCTCTCCAATGAGGATTAAGTGCAAACAACACTAATTGGATGGGTTTAGAACGTAATTTGATGGTGCCAGTTCATGACAACAAAGTCGATATTCAAGAAAAACTGGGCACTACTGATATACAAAAACATAAAAGGGCAAGTTTACCAGCTAAAAATCTTTTGGAGTGTCAATATTTTTTATATAAGTAGAGTTCCTCAATTGGCACAACAATACTAAAAGGAGTAAAAGAAAGAATCCGGAAGAAGGAAGAAAAGATGAATTGACAGTAACTGTAGAATCAACATATCCGTCCACCTGGTCAGCCAAAGGTATATGTGTTCCATAAGGAATAAAGGGCCAGTAGGCTGCAGAGTAAGCCCAAACACACACAAACCAAAATATATTGATATAGAAAGATCACATTAGACAGAAAATATACCTAAGAATTGTAAAGCAGAAGCAGGAAGATTCATTATCACATGATCAACATGCTCCCAGGCCTTAGCTTTGGACAAAACAGACTCTTTCATCCTCTTCTGTGTATTTCCCTTTTTCTTATGTTCACTCTGGGCATTTCCATTCTCTGCAATGTGAAGGCAAAATTCTCACTATTTCAATTTGAAGAAGTAAGAACTAAATAATTACATACGCAGATTCTAGCTTTCCAATCTGGCGATATATGAAAAAACTAGCAAATATATGATCACTGCATATGCTTTGGGGATAACCTAATGCCTGATGCAGGTGCTTGTCATACCTTCTGTGAAACAATCTGAAGGTCTTTTAATTGCAACTACAGATGCATGTACAGTCCTAGAAGAATTTTTCATGCCCTCCGGCTCATCTTTGGCATCATTACCAGCTACTTCTTTCTCCTCAACTGAAAGAGATAAGAAAATTTGGATAAACTTATACCCAACTTACAGGAAGATGATGCATGAGATAATAACAGACAATACCACCAAAATTTCTGTCTTCTGCCTTTGCATCATGAATGCCCTTCATGCTGAAAGTATCACAAGCTTTGATCGTGGAATCATTAGACTCTAAATTAACTTCACAAACTGGTACTGCCATCAATTGAGAAACGAATTTCCTAGCATCCATATTATATGCAAAAACACAATCATCAACCTTATTGATTTTTGCATTGATCTTCAAATAGTGAATGCTGTCCGGATTTAAATCATTTGCATACACCAAGCATCCTCTCTGTGCTGCTGGAATTGCAAATGGTCCAATACCAGCAAACATGTCACAAATTGTCTCCCCTGGCCGGAACAGAGATACAAGCCTTACATGTTCATGTTCTAATCTAGAATTCCAATAGACCAAGCCGTAATCTAGCTTGAATGTTGCCCCATATTGCTTCACTTCAGTAACCATATCACTTTCTCCTGCTAAAATTTCAAACTTTGGCACTCGAAACTCATTTGTAATTGTTCCAACTTTATTCACAACGGTTTTAATTCTTGGGTAATTTTTCTGCCAAGAGATTAAACTTGGAGCAATCAGTACCACAAATGGACAACTGGAAGCAAAGTAGTAATAAAAATCATAGCACTACAGCAAGTCAGCAACTCAATGTTAAAGAACTGCACACACTGAACAGCAAGTGGTATATGGTCAACAAAAGAACTGGAAACAGATCCGATAATATTAATATCAATACAAGAATCTCTGCAAACAGAAGGTTTCAAATAGAAACCTAGCAAAGAAAAATTATATATTAAGTGCCATAAAAGATTAGTTTTACCAAATAGAAAGCAAGGCCTAGGGCTACAGTTGCTCTAGCATAAAATGATTAATACAGAAAAGGACATTGAATGCAAGTAACAGGTCCAATACAGTAAAAGAAAAAACGAAAAACGCTTATTTCCTTAAGATGCCAATGATGAATGACGAAATGTTCAGGACAGAGACAAATGAAAACTTACATCATAAATGACTTTAGCAATCACATCCTTGAAAGGAAGTAGCTCATCATGTATGTTTAGATGGGCAACGTGACCTGCAGAGGAAATACGAATTGTTAGCCACCAATGATATGGAAAGCGACAGCAGGCCAGCAAAAGGTAACATGAATTCAAAAGGAAATAGAGGGGTGAAAAAACTTAAAGCTCAATCCGAAGGTAAGTTAAATACTTAACTATCGTTTCAAACGATGAAGGTACCTCTACTCCAGGAGGCAGAATCTGTTTCAATATATGATCTACAAAATTGTACACCACCCTTTAGACACGGATTAAAACTATACATAGATAAACTTGAAGAGAATCGACTCGACCAGCATTTAATTAGAGAGACGACGGCAACTCACCAGCCGTCCAATAAGAATATCCAAGTGTCAATGAATATGGAACTACTTCAACCTCACATAACTTCCTTAGTTCGTCAAGTTTTTGCATTGGAATGTCTGATAAATCTGTTCTATTTCACAAAAAAAAAAATCCCGGTAGTGAGGGGAAAATAAAAGAAAAACTTAAATTTTAAACAACAAAAATTAAGACATTTTCCTATGTTTCTTATTTCTTACCAGGATTTTGAACTTTTTCAGACAAAACCATGTAACGGTTCTTTTCACTTGTTGGATCTTCAGTTATAGGTTTAACACGAGGCTTATCCAGCAAGTATCTGCAACACCAAAATCTTTTACAAAAACCCTAACAATTAAATAACAGAAATTAAAAAAGAAAAAAAGAGCTGGCCTACCCGTTGAGTAAACGAGTGGCGATTTTGCAGAACTCGCGAGGGATTCGAAGTGCTAGTAATTGGAAGTTCACATCAAACTTACTTTCATCCAACATTTTCACGGCTTCTTTCTCCTTCAAGTTTTTCAAAATTTTTTGGAGGGTTTAAGTTTTCGCGGGTTGATTGATTCGGACCTCCAACAAGAGGAGGGAAAAAAACTATCAAGTTCTACCGAGAATTGAGAAGAAAAACGAGCTAAACAATGGAACTTAAACAAAATTTAAAAGTAAGGTTGAAAATATAGCTTGGAAAACCAGCTCCGATAACCGTTGCAGCAGCTCAAGAGTTTAGCGTTTTAGGGTTTATGGCGATCCAATTTAAAACAGATTGATTCCTAGGCCGAGAAGGACACATGTAACATTGTTCTACTTTTTCATACGGGTTTGGACTTTGGTTTGGGTTTTGATATTCGAGCTGTCCATGGGGGGAAGTTTGGGCTGGGTTTTCCTATTTTATCCACGTATGTAAATATTATTATGGGCATTAGTTTTATTGTTTTTACGAACTCATTAACGAAATTTATTGGATTTTGACCGATTGAGGGTATTTTTATAATTTAGAATTTATAAAACGGTACCGTTGCAACATACAACAAAAGTATCACTTGAATTACAACGGTACAAGTGTCAATTGAAAAGTTTAATTAGTATTAAACAAACCAAAAACAACAAAAAACAAAACAAAATTCACTTTGAATTTCTATCTTTAAACTCTTGCTCTCTATATTTATTTGAGTTCAATTTAAAAAGTTAAAAAAATTATCAATTAATTTGTCTCGTCTTAAATATTAAAATTGCCTTTATATATACTCTTTTCAAATTTTTAGATGAATTTTTTATTTAGATGAAAGCTATTAAAATTATCTATATTTTTTTTATCATTGTGATGCTGCGGTTTGAGTCTATAGTGCATGCTATGAGGGATTGCAGCAAGGCGAGGAATTTATGGCTTCAAACTCAACCAGATTTATATACAGGTGATTTCTTTGATGAAGATTAAGTTTCTTTGATGAAATATTTTATAAAAAGTATAATTGTTGATTACGTAATGGTTGAGAAGATAATATTATAATATTTAATAATTTTATTAAAAATATAATATAAATTTATAAAATTATTTTAATTTATAAAAATTTATAATTAAATAAATTGATATGTTTTAATGTAAATTTCAAACTTTTTTAATTTATTTTTAAAATAATAAATAATAGTATGATAAAAATATTATTAAAATATATAAAATTACTAAATATTTATTTTTAATAAATAAGTTAAGTTTTAAGGAATTAAATTAGTTAATTTAATTAATTTATAAACATTTGTTTTTTTATTTTACTTAACAAATAAAATTAATTTATAAACATAAAATTTAATTAATTTATAAATATTTACTCTTGTTTTTTGCCCTTTGTAAAGTGGGCTTGAGTATTAGAATTGAAAATTTTTTGTAAACCAGTAAGCCATGGATGAGCCATTTACAGTCATGGCTATTCCTCCTTCTTTTATAGCCAGGGAAACCTGGTATTTTTCTATATCAAGTCTACCATTGTAATTGTCAAAAAGAAAAACAACTCTACTTTCCCTTTTTTTTTAAATTTCTTCTTCTTTTTCTCTCTTTTCATTTTTATTTCTCTCACCTTCCTCCTTGCACCCATTTTTCCCCTGCAAACATTGGCTTAAAGAAAGGTAAAAGAAGAAGAAATAAGGAATAATTTAAAAAAAAAAAACGTTAACATTCTCTCTATGAGTTAAGGGAAGTGACATTCCTTTAACTATTTGTAATAACTTTATTATTACAAACACATTGCTTTTCGTCATTACATATTAAATATTATAAAATTATTGTAATCATTTAAATCACAGGAAATGTATTCTATTTTCCCTAAACCAAAAGCCCCCGTCTCTCTTTTGCTTTAAACACAATAATAAAAACAAAGGGCCAAATCTACATTTACGTATTCGGCCTTAAAGCAAACCGAGGTTGAATAAGTAGAATTGATCATGTCCAATCGAGGACAATGAAAGTTCAATATGGACATGGGTCGCTAGTTAAGAAACGTGTTCTTTTTGTATAGATGTGACTAGTCAACCAATGATTGAGAAACAGCTAAACAGTTTGAACAAAAGAACAACAGAGACATGAAAGGTAAAACATTTGCTATTGAAAATCGTCATCATCTGCTTGTTGTTTCATTGGTTTTCATCTGCTTACTGTTGGGAGTAGTTGTTTAAAGCAAGACATGACAGTAATGATAATCTTGGATGGATGCTTAAATGGGTTCAGGTGAATGAAGTTTCGAGATAAACTGTCCCTGGTTGATTACACTGACTAACCTTGCCTTCTCTAGAGTACAAGGTTGGCATCTTTGCCATCGTTGTGCACGAATGTAACAGTAACTGACGTCAGATTGTTGCTGCTTTTATGCTTTGTAAAGAATAAAAAGTTGTTGTGTTGTGCTTCTCTTCTTGCACAAGACTGTTTTAAGTTTCCATACTTAGAGAGATTTTATTCTTTCGCAATATTAAACATATTACCAGTATTTTTATTTTCAGATTAAACCCATTAATCTTTTAGTTAAAATAATTTGACAGTATCAAATATTATATATATTGATGACCCTACAAATGAATCCAAATATGGCTCTGCCCACCCAAATCTCAATTAAGTTGATTAATATAAAGAATTATTCACATATTTAATACGCACCCATCTATGTATGAACTGACTGAGATTCACAAATCTTTACCATTAACCGTTGTAATCATCAATATAGTTTCTTGAACATGTTTTGCATCTACAAACACAATAATACTATTCGATTAGCTGTTAACCTTTTAGTTTTCTTGGTAATGTTAGTATTAATTTTATGACAACATAACAAAGGAAAGCAAATTGAGTTTCAAGTGTGAATAGACAAGGAAGAAGGGAACAGAGTCCAAAAATTTTTGCATTCATATGAACAAAAGAGAAGAAAAATTTTGAAGAAGCAAAAATTTGTTATTTACGCTTTGCTCCTTTACTTTTTGGCATACAAATGATTGCCCCCTGAATCCATGATCCAATCCCATATCCTACCCTATGGCCGTTCCTAGTTTCCTACTCCTACCTTAGAGTTAATCCTGTTTTCCATCGGAGAGACCAACAATGGAGAAACCCACCAGCGCTTGAATTCTGATCTTTCCGAATTCCGCAGCTTTTTGTTTTTCTTGTCATCTGAATCTTCAGACCCAGATTTGTCTTCCAAGCTCCAACGGATGCCTGGAAACAGCTTGTCCTATGGATAAGTAGTTTGTAGAAGAACTCAATCTGAAATAGAATGATCATGCCAACACAAAAGCATGGCGATACAACGTCCAAGGATGTAAAACCGTGTTTTCTGCTGCTTTGCCATCAACAAACAACGCTTTCTGAAACTGGGTTTCCGAAGCTTCTGGGACCTGCAGCAAGTATTGGAGGTTGAAAGAAAGTAAGGACTAGTAGACATGGCGGAGCGTAGTCACTGAGGATTTTGGTTATTGATTTTTTGCGTAGTAAGGAGCACGAATGCAATGACTGCCTTCTGCTCTTATTGTGTAACATTTGACGACTGTGGACCCTTGTTGCATTTAGATAGACGTCATTTCCAGGAAGCCAACCCTTTCGGCGTATGACATCATTGCCCTTGCTCCAATGTTTGGTGTCTCGCCCTTTTCTTCTTTTGTATTAAGAAATGGGCAAAAGTAACCCCTCCTTTTCCTTTCTTCTAAACAGAAAGGAAGCAAAGTCAAATAATCCAAAGAAGAATTCTATTCTTTGGAGATATTAAAAAACTATTAGAATCATATCATTGGATTTGGAGCATCGTTTTGAAGATGAGAGTATGGTGAAAGCAAATTGAGAAGTGAGAACACCCACCTTAGTGCAAGTTGGATATAAAGAGAATCTGAATGATAGTATAGTAGAGAAGATGAGATATGATGGGTTTTTTTTTCTCCCAATAAAACATAACATATTTTGTATTATTTAGTTTATGATTTGCATCTTAATCTTTGATTAAGTGTTATCATGAGTAATGGGTTATTAACAAGGAATTTGAAATTATGAGATGAATGAATTGTTTATTGATAATAATATAAAAGTAATGCACGGAGTGTGTTGTTATGTGGTTTTTTTTTTGTATTGGTTTTTTGATGTTCAATTTGGGAAAATCCAGAATATATCACCAACCAAAGAAGAAAAACACAAAACCCATTTTTGCTTCTTGAGCAAAGGAAAATTTATGTAAAGGTATGATAAAATGGTAATTTGAAGGGTGAGGAGCATTTATTTTGGTCCAAGCAACAGTAGGGATTCTGCAGACGGGAAATAGATCGAAAGACCCATGGGCCAAACCAAGGGAAAGCCGTGTAGGGACCCGAACCAGATGCATGCGGGCCCCCACCACCGTCTATTCCCCACGTGGCACCCTTGTCGTCATTTTGCACACGTTTTTCCTTCTTTACTCTGGCGGCCTAGAGTGAAAAGGCCTGATTCGCTCGCGAGAATATGAATATTTTTTGAGACAAGAAATAAGTGGCAAGTGGAATGGAGGTCGGCAAGCAGTTGCATCGATGAGGGGCAACCGTACCGTGGCATTTTGGTAATTTCTGGCCGACATTTTGTTGATACTAATTTTAATTGCATTTTCGACCCTTAAAGTTTGAGCTAAGTTTTAATTTAGTCCTTTCAGATTTTGAATTCTTTGGGTTTCAAAGCTTATTCTTGGTTAGGATTCCTCACTAAGGATTTGGTCCTTGGACTTGCAAATGTTTTTCTCTGTAGACTCGTAGGTGCGTTGTAACGAATGAGTTTGTCAAAAGATGGGTTAAAACTATCAAACAGTAAGCTTATTTTAGTCACATTGAGACGTGGCTGTTAACATCAAAATCCCAATCGATGAGTAGGGACACGTGGCTGAAGGGGCTTGCAACTACCACAAAGTCTTGGTCGAATTACGAAAACTTAACTGGCATAGTCTCAAGCATCCAGCCAGCAAAAATGATTGCATCTAAAGAAGAAGAATCAACACATGCCATCGACGTGGCTTACGTATCTGGACAATTTGGTTATGTATTTTATCAGTCTCTTGGTTTAGTTGGGATTAAAAGCAAGAGGGATGGTGCTGGATATCTTATGATTGAGTATTTTATATTTATTTAAATTAATTAAATAGAATCAAAATATTTTATAATTAAGTTTTAATTAAAAAATTATTATTTGTCATTTATTTAGGTAGAGTTTGACTAGTGATCTTAAAACACCTATTATCTAAATTTGATTATAAATAATAATTTTTCATATATTATTTTTATTTATATAATTAATATAAATTTTATTAAAATTTATTAATTATTCTAAATATGATTTTAAAATTTAATTTATTTTTTATGAACTAATTTTCATTTATTAAATTTTAAAAATTAATTATATAAAAATTGATTTTAAAATTTTATTAATTATATATTTATTTTAATCGAATATTAAAATTGTTCAAATGTTTAAAGTAATATTTAAAATATTTGCACACGAATTCAAATAACAATTTTAAAATTTAATAAAATACTTATAAAGTTCAGATTTTCTATCAAATACTACTTTAAAAGAATAAATTGAAATTAAATTACAAATTGCAAGAATCTAAGACTCTAACGAGCCAATGCCCGAACTAAGAACCTAACTCAAAATTCAGGGTCCGATATTGTAATTTGCTTATTTTTTATAGTCATTTATGCAATATTTGCTACCAGCCTTATCCAGTCCAGTCATCTCGTCAAAAGACGTCTGGATTTTCAGGATTTCTGTTTTCACATTTTCGGCTGCGGCTGCTGTTTTGATTTGAATTTATGTCAGGGCAGGCAGGTTATTTTCTACCAGAAAAAACAACAACCGATTTGGGACCCACCTTATCTTCCGAAGGAGGGGCGTGTATTTTCTAGTTTAAGCAGCGATTTTTAATTTCTTTATTTTTTGTCTCTTTTGGTTGGGGGCCAGGATGCCCTTCATGTGTAGAGCCCACGAAATTGCGACGACGTGAAGATATCTGCCCAATCGAATTAAAGGCTTGGTAATTTTTTTCTTTGAACAACGGAAAATATTACCATTAATGGCCAATGGGATCATGCTATATGGCCCAAATTACAGTGTCCCAATCCGAGCCGAACAGACGAAGAAAAATGACCGTGGTCAACCATTACCTATTTAATTTTATTGGTTGATAAAAATCAACATGGAATTGCACCAGAGAGCCACTGAGTTGTTTCGTTTTTATGAAATGAGGATGAAGCTTTCTGGATTATTGTTCTTATTAAGTCTACCTAGCATTAGGAGATACAATAAAGATTAAAGCTGGTAGAAGAGAGTATACAGGGTTTTCATATTTTCTTGTAATATTTGTCCAGGAGCACCTCAGAATACTCCCCAAAAGTAAGAGTGCCCTTTGATGGTATCAGCTGAAACCAATGCACAACAAAGCTTCAGTAAGTAAATAAGTATATGTGCCCCCTACACATCATTAAAAATAATTTCCTATTTTGGTTCCCGACCACTGGTAAAAATTAAATATGATAATTAGAATCGTAGCTATGTAGCACGCAAGTTATCGTGAAAGTTAAAGCTGACTTTCTAGCTGTAAGTTACTTAGTAGCACGAGTGCAGATCTACTGGCTAGATTGGGGTCCACGGACAATTGAATTTTACTTCAGCTTAGTAAATTATTTTTGCATCACTGTAGGAACATACCTCTTTATGAATATGAACCTCCTCAGGAAAGTTGAGCTTTTCATCCCTACAATTTAAAAAGAAAACAAGATTACCAACTTCAAACTGGTTTTGGTAACATATGAAACATAACTGCTGAGCTGAAGATAGAGAAATTTGTCCATTTAGATCCATGAATAATATCACTGTTTGTAAAAGAAGGAAGGACATCATCATAGTTCCATTATTCTACCATTAAAACTAATCTCACACAAGTCAAGTCAATAAACAAATATAAATGTATTGATGATTAACATACCAATCGGGTTGCAAAAATAATGCAAATGTTGATCGGTCAACACCAGAAGCCTCCTCTCCTTTTGGTGCCTAACAGAATCATTGAATAAAGGATATTATAGGGAAGGACAAAACAATGGAAAATAAACAGGGGTTTTTTTCCCGAGAGGAGAGAGAGTTGAAAATACCCGAACACAGTGAGGTGTTGCACAAAGATAACCTCGAGAAAGAATTTCAGTAGTCTCACCAATTTGGTATGCTATTTCATCTTCTCCAAAAATGGCCTAATGCATTAAAAATCCAAGTTAATAGAATCGATATATGTTCTAAAGTATGGCAATCATAGGTAATGCAAGGTCAACATTTCACAAGTTCTTTGCAATGCACTTATAATGCAGCACTGATCATTTTTACACTCTGTGAACACAACGGGCAGGAAGGAGTTTCAACTTAAGATTAGGTGTTCTCTGATCTGCTTTCAAAAGTAGTGATTGACTCTTTTATCTCTGAGTTTACAGTCAAAACAATATAAATCTCACTGTATGTAAGTTGTATGCATTTTATGGTTGTTGGTTGAAACAATTGGTTAAAGCCACACTACCTTCTGCAGTATAAATACGGAAATTTCTAGTTTTGTCCCATAATATTTGTCCTCCTCCCATGCTTCCTAAAAAATCATATTGAATCTATAAAGAAAAAACCTGTTTAATCTCAACCACAGATTCAACACAGAAATTATGATTCATGATTCCACCATCACTCTAATTTCTAAAAATAATACTGCTAAATCCTGCCATATAATTATTCTCAAGAGACCTAAAAGTTATCTATTTTAATACCACTACCATCTCACGCAAGCCTATTAGCGATTTCTCAAGTTACAAGCTCAACAGACTTGGGAATATTTGTTAAATTTTACAAAATGTAGAAAAGTTAGGGGACTGTTAAAATCATCAATTTCAAGCATACTTACATTTTCCCGTCCATTCTGTGGTCCATCAATGACCAAACTTTGTTCATTTGATACACAATTATAGAAAGCTTTCTATTTTGACAGTAACTAACATTTTTATGGCAGTCTCTAATGCTAATAATTTATAGTATATGTCATTTACTTGCTTCTTGGATGCAAATGGCACTGGCATCAAAAGAGTGTAAGGATAGCACTTTTCAATCTCATTCTTTCCAGCATTTTTTAAATTTAGTACTATTCACCACTACTTGAAGGAAATTACAATATTTTAACTCCACCATATGATCCCACTTGAGGAGACTGACACACTTGATAATATGATGTATAAAATTTTGAAAAGCTACTACTACTAGACAAGGAATTATGATGAAGAATGCTTTACAAACAAGTCATCATAAATAGTCATTATCATCTCTTGCATTTATTAATAAGTAAAGTGCCATGACCAAGAATGTTTACTTTGACAATTTCACCTGTCCGTGTTCTTATATAAAGGCCAGCAGCACTATCAGGGAAAGCTACTTCTACACCACCCCTCTTAAACATGCCACAAGTCAGACCTAAATATTAAATTGAAGCAGAAATCAGGGACAGACATAGTTGACAGCTATGATATCAATATTTTGCAATCCTACTAAAAGAAGTGGATAAAAAATAGTGTCTGACCTCAACAAAGTTAACCACTTCTCTTAAAATGCAAAACAAGTTTATTTCATAATCCAAACTAGTTTCTCTTTAATCTCCTTATACTTGTATCATCTTTTTAACTTAAAAAAAGAATGCCTTACATCAGAAACATCCTTAGTTCTTACTCATTAAAGGTCTCACTTCTTTTTGAAGTTTGAATTACGTATTTGTGTGTGTGTAACTGAACTAACTTTATACCGCCATGGAACTAGTCTCAATGTCTCAAATAGGCTTATCTACATTTTCAGTAAGTGAAATGGACCCATTTCATTGCACTTTGTACCGTGGATTTGTGTTGATATGCCTTGGAAGCAAAGCAAAATGATCCCAGTTTTTCTGTCGTTGGCAATACCACCAAAATATCCAAATATTCCTGAACAAGTTTTGTTTTTTCATTTTAAATATCCAAATAGGTTAATGGTGTGAAACAGGCATAAATAGATTAGCAAGGTTTCTCCTAATTATATCCTTTTTACTGAAATAAGGTTAGACTTTAAGAATGAAGTAGCTAATAAGGTCAACTGACTAATAATAGGATGAGACTACAGACACATTACCTGTCAGTGAGGCATAGTCTGTATGCCATCCACACCAAGATGAAGTGGAGTCACCATCTTTTTTATGATCACTGCAAGTAATGTCATATTTTACTCACTAACTTCTAGAAGCCAGAGAGAGAAGGGGGTTTAACTTTTCAAACTAAAGAAAAATATATAACCAGAAATCTACTAGTGGGAAAAAACCTCAAGTGTGCAGGAAAGTAATAAAGCAAACGGCCTTTGTGACAGCGAGAGCGAAGAAGTACTTCTTTAAGGCCTTCATCCTTTTGCATTTTCATCGCCCTAGATACTGCTCATGTAATCATAAGTGAAAGAGTAACTCGAGATGACAAACACGAAGACTTTGTTTTCTGTCTAAGATAAATTTGACATGTAATAGAATCAAGAAATTACAGTAGCCGATTTATTCAACAAGACTAGGCTCAATCCAGCTCATATATCAATGGTCAAACCTAAAAATACCAAATTCAAAATATTGAAATGTGGTAACTCCTGGATTTTTAAAGGTCTATTCTCAACTATAAAAAGTCTGTGATGCTCTGTCAGTGAAGAAGATACATATAATATAGGTCTAGAAATGCAACTAACCATTTTCATATTCTCTGAATTTAAAAGCTGGAATTCTAGGGGAACTTACCATATTGATCACAGTGATAAATGACCATCAAACCAACATCAAAGATCAGCTTTCCCAGAGTTTTGAAAGCTACAGAGTAGAGTCCAATAATCAACATTCAGAAAATCCTATGTCAGATTAAACATAAGATAGAACTTGAAGACCAAAACAAATAACAACATTTGATATTATTTCCTCAGCACAATTCATAACTTACTAAAAGATTACGACATGCTTAAATTCCATTACTTTTCCAAACTAATGAACTGTGGACATACCCACTTCAAGTTCTGGCAATGCAGCCTGAGGCCATATATTTGCTCCACAATATGATGGATACCTACAAGGAAGAGCATGGCAACCAATTGGACATTAAGTAACTCGAGATGGCAAACACAAAGACTATGTTTTCTGTTTAAGATAAATTTGACATGTACTAGAATCCAGAAATTACAGTAGCCAATTTATTCAACAGGACTAGGCTCAATCCAGCTCATACATCAATGGTCAAACCTAAAAATACCATATTCAAAATATTGGAATGTGGTAACTCCAGGATTTCTAAAGGTCTATTCTCAACGATAAGAAGTCTGTGATGCTCTGTCAGTGAAGATGGTATGTATAATTTAAGTCTAGAAATGGAACTAACCATTTACATATTCTCTGAACTTAAAAGCTGGAATTCTAGGGGAACTTACCATATTGATCACATAAGGCATAGTCTATATAACAGCCTACAGACATGAAAAAAGGAAAGGAACCGGTCTCTGAGCCAATCTAAGACATGCTACATAGGGAAAATGAAAATATTGTAATCATTAATGTTCCTACCCAACTTACCTCTCAATCAAGTATGCATCAGTTGTTGGCACATCAATTAGTGGATTTGCATAGAATGAACCTTTCAGCAGATCTGCATAGCATTAAAGAGAAATAAGTTGAAATTGTTGAAGGGAAAAAAAAATTTAAAGCACCCAAGAAGAAAAAAGAATCACAGCTCAAGCATAAACTAAACCTGATATCAGAATCAAATATATAGGAAGAAGCAGATATTTTCAAGGGGTTTCACACCACTTCACATATAGAAAAAACACCCAGGATCTAAAATCCAGCGACGAGTATGGACTGCTTAAGTCTCTTAATTTTTTGTTTCAGATCTGACATCAAGCAAATTGATATAGCCTTTCTCCTCTAAATGTAACTTAGAATTGGACATATCTGCAGCAAAATTTCACTCAATCCCTCACTTAGTCCAGTTTGTACTGTATTTCTCAAAAGAGCCTTTCCTCTCTGCCCGTAACTTAGAAGCATGCTATTTTTACTATTATGTGAAGAAAAAGAAGATATTCTCCCCATAAATGCTGGTAATTGAGGAAGAATAAGAAAAGAAAAACATACTTTCCCTCAAACGAAGAGGCCATTTGCAGAAGATTGAAGTTTATAAGCAGTTTTTAACATGTTTGTAGTATTTCGTTCAACTAGAATATTAGTTAGGCCTACTTTGTATCAGCCATTTGGTTCTTTCTGATCTATGATTACATTCAAATATATAGAAAAAAGCATAAACGGCATGCTAATGACTCATGTTTAATCATGTCAAGTTGTAAGATTCAAAGCATGCAGACATTTACCTTGTTTCCCAGATTCAATCTGCTCTTTCCCATGACTCCATCCAAAGCTGTACCTATAGGTAAAAAGTGGCTAAAATGAACACATAGAGGCAAGACTGCAATGTACTCCAGCACGATGCCTTCATACTCTCTTTTAAAAATTTTAGTCATATGCAAATTTAACAATAATAAAAAAGAAGTAGCATTAACCTCCTAAATGAATTCCCCTACAAACATAAAAACATTTCGATTAATAGAAAAAAATCAGCAAATATTACCTACTCTGAGGATCCTCAAGTTCCTTCTTCACTTCTTCAGGCAGGCTAGCTAATCTGTTAAAAGAGACGGAAATTACACAATATTTTTCAATTTTCGTTGATTATGAGTCCTAAGAAAAGTTTGTTTGGAAGCTCATATTATACCTAGGTGCAAGGTCCAGAAGATTTCGACGTAATGTAGCAAATCCTGGAACCTGTAATAATGATTACAAAGGCAAACTTAAAAGGAAAATCAAAACATATTGAAGAAATTGATTGCCTATGAAAATCAGTCAAGCCCTAAACAAAAACCTTTCTGCGAAAGAAATATAAAGATTTCAGTATCCTACATCTGTGATTGATAGAATTCCCAGTCCATTCGGTCCAAATCCTTCTTCAATTTTCATTGACAGGTCAGCATCCTTGTCCTGTTTCAATCCATTTCAATAATGAAACAAGAGTATAAAAAATATCTGAAACATGCAGATACGTATACGCACTATCCAACAATCTAGTTTAAAATAACACGTCACCAACTCTGTTTGGTTGCCAAGAAACTGCAGGAAAATACAATGAAACTAACAATTTAGACCACATGATCACGGTCAACTCTGTTCGAAATCCCATTCAAACGAGTCAACCCAGCAGCGTCCCGCGTAGTCGTAGCAAAAGCTGATTACTGATAAGGAACTCACCGTGAGTTCAGAATAAGATATTGTAACGGTCCGGAGAGTTGGGAAAGAGGTTTGGGAGGAGGAAGAGCAAGACATGCTTCAACACGTAATCCGGTGGCAAAATCTATGGTTGGGCGTCGACGGAGAACAAGCGGGAATGTTTAGGAATTGGGAACGAAAATGGAAAGAGTCGTGAATAAGCGGTTTAAAGAGAGTGTGAATCAGCCAATCAGGATGCGAAAGTACACGAAAATGTGATTGGCGGAAGAGAACAAAATAGCACGTTACGTTTCCCCTGAAGGAAAGGAAATAATTTCTTTTGACAGCGTCGCTTTTATGTGGACAGAGGACGATTCCGCACTCTTAAGGCTGTTAATCTTATTTTTGAATAAATAACTAAGGGGCGCGATTGGGAGAGAAAAAGGAACAACAAAAAACCAAAGGTTATCAAAACCCAAAGCGACGTCGTCGACAGCATTGTTCATTTTCCCAACAAGGGGCGCTTTCTCCCTTCTCTTTTCGCTTCGCTCTCGATGGCCTGCAATCCTCACCACCTCACTAGCAAAATCCCACAGTCAGTCTCATCCCTCCGTAAAGTCAGATCCCCTCACGCTTTGCCCAACAGTTCAATAACGGCATTTCCGTTCCGTTACTCTGCTTTCCATCCAATCAAATTCTCCAATTTCCGTTCTCTATCAGCTTCATCTACAGCTGCGGGCACTTCTACCCCCACCACTTTCTCTTGGGACGACGTCGTTCGAGTCTCTCAACCCGAGTATAACCCGCACGATTCTTCCAATCTCCGAGGCTTCTTCGATAAAATCAAAGAATGCAATCGTGGCTCAGTAAGCATCTCTCCTCGTGTTCACTTTGCCTCTTACGTATAATCTTTTTTATTTTTAAATTTAACTTCCAATTTTTTTTATGTTTATAACTTTTCTCAGCAACCAAACAGAACAATTTGTTATGGTTATTAGTTCTTTGTAATTACAGGGCATGCAATCCGAGTTCCTTCCCTTTGTTATCGAAGACCAAATTGTTGGTTACATACATCGGAGGTAAAGTTTTCACTATTTTATATTACATTAAACACGATCTTAATCATGTTTAGGCAATTATAAATATATGTAAATGTGAACTAAAAATGTGTCAGGCTAATTAGGATATTCTCTTAATTACATATATGTAAATGTGAACTAAAAATGTGTTAGGCTAATTAGGATATATTCTTTTAATTACATATATGTAAATGTGAACTAAAAATGTGGTTGGCTAATTAGGATATTCTTTTAATTACGTGCAGTTTTGCTGAGAATTTAAGGAATTTTCAGAATGTGTTTATATTATCTAAAGGTAATTGTGGTGGAGGTCACGTAACGTTGCATCGAATGTTAAACTCAGCGGAGGATAGAAGTAGAGCAGTGGGAGAAGTGATCAAATGCTTGGCTGAAAAAGAATTGATTCCAGGTATAAGGAATGAGGTACTGCTTAAAATTGACTGTAAGAAACAAGAAATTGGTTCCTTACAATGTTATCCATCTTTTTTGTGTGTGTTTTCACATGTCGGAATAAATTCCCCTTTTTTTTAGAAGCTTCCAATGCCTATTTCTGATTGAATTGATTGAAGCTACTTGGAGTTATTGTGAACTAAGGAATTTCTTCAATAGAATGACTGTTATTATTGATGTCTAACAGCTGTACCCCGTGACATCATCGTTTGGTGCACCGGTCTTTTTCTCCCTTGAACGTGCTGCTGCTCCTTATTTTGGAATAAAGGTGTGTTTATGCATGTGGGCTGTGGCACAGGATTGCCTTTATACTTTTCCCCAAAGAATTTGCTTATTGGGATGTTATCGCTATGGTTTGGACTTTACACAAGATTAAAAGCTGAAATGTTTATATTTCTGATAATGTAAATCTTTTCTTTTCAAAATGACTTTTCCAATCATAGGCTTATGGCGTTCACATGAATGGCTATGTTGAAAAAGATGGGCAAAAGTTTCTATGGATAGGAAAAAGAAGTCCAGTGAAGCCTACTTTTCCTGGAATGCTTGATCATCTAGTTGCTGGAGGACTGGTTTGTAAAAACCTACTATTTTACTTTGTTATACTTGGAGAGTTAACATCCATGAGGAGCTCATGTAGTCTTTTTCTGTGTGACAAAAGGAACTAAATGCATAATGCGGAAACTTTCATTTTAAGCATGACTTCTTCCTTTCTGCTTATATCCATGAACTTCACTTACATGTTGACTCTGGTAGGGGTCTCCATTTTAAAAATATATATTCGTGAAATAAGTGGAGAGTATTTCTTTCTGTATGTTTTGCCTGATGAAAGTCAATAGATGGTTCTACGAGTTTTCAATAGTTAGGAAAAGGTACTGCAAATAAGGTATTTAGAAATCATGTCATGCGAGTGAAGATTGTTGCCTTGATGTGATTTGGCAATGTATATCTTGTAGCAAGTAAGGGGTTTGAATTGCTTAGTTCTGTGAAAATGTAATCTGGACTATTATTTTTCATAATGTCTGTATAGAGAGTGCATGTATGATAATGATATTGTTTGGCTTAGGAAACAGGGAAAGATTCATTTATGTCATTTGTTTTTTGATTTCATAATACAATTAGGACAATTTGTTAACATCTTTGGTGGTGCGAAGCTGAAGCAAAAGACAAACCTATTACCTAGAAAAAGCTTATTCTGAAAATCATGGTGAAAAAGTGGGAAATTCTTTTCTTTTTCCCTTAAATATTTGAAGTTCCATTTGCTTCTTGCATCTATTGACTTCAGAATAAATTTAAAGGCCATTTTCGTTTGCAACAGTTTCTGCTACTTCCTCTTACCCTCATTTAGTCAAATTTCCATGAATCATAGCCTTATGGAATTGCCTGTGGAGAGAATCTTATGAAGGAATGTGAAGAGGAAGCTGGAATACCAAGATCCCTATCCAGTAGGTAAAAATTCCGGCCGTTTGACTCTTTGTTCAAGTTTGTTATATCTTGCATGCCTTGTATTGGCTTGGAGGCCAAACGTTGATATGGACATTGCTGATGGCTTGATGCAGTTCATTTTGATAGCCATATCTGTTCTCTCGCTCTCTTTCCTTGCTTTCTTTTACAGTTTGCATTATTGAAGGGTACATAACTGTTTGTGTTCCTCTTACAGAGCTATACCAGTTGGTGCTGTTTCATATGCAGATATTGATGGGCACAGATTCAAGCGAGATGTCCTATTCTGTTATGATCTAAAACTCCCTGAAGGTTTTGTACCAAATAATCAAGGCAAGTGCATGGAAGCATCACTACTTTCTGTTGAAAATAGGACGAGTTCAAATTTTATCAGATTGGTAATACTTGGATAACTTATTATCTATGATGCTTTTAGGTAGAGAATCATATCAATCAAATGTTTCATGACTTGTTAAACATGTGGCAGATGGAGAGGTAGAAAGCTTCAAGTTGATCCCTGTGGCACATGTTGCTAATGTCATAAAAAGGACACATTTTTTCAAGTCAAATTGCTCCATTGTCATAATCGATTTCCTGTTTCGACATGGGTATTATTTCGTCCTTCCTTCCTTTACAATTTTTCAAAGAGCAAGAGTTGAGCGTCCTGTTTGTTTCACACTCTTTAGGACCTTGATTTTTGTCCCTAATCATTGCAGGTTCGTAAGTCCTGAAAGTTTTGGATATTTGGATCTTCTACAAAGTTTGAAGAGTGGAGATTGCTCCTAATTGTACTTCCTTGTGAAAGACATCAAAAGCCAAAGCCATCTCATGTTTCTTTCCCAGAAGAAAGCTTCACTCATGTTGGATAGGTGTATAAACAGGGTTATGGATTCTGCAAAACTTCATCATCAATGTGTTGTGAGATAACAATCTTTGCTTGAATGTAAACTGTGATCCCAGAAGCATTTAGTGTCATTTTCGTTTTCATTTCCTTTTCTCCCTGCCCAAATAAAACGTGCACAATATTTTCATACTGTCTTAAATTGATTGAAGATAAAAAAGAAAAAGGATTTGACATCAATGTGCTCTAGGATCACAACATTATTAAAGCCATAAGTGTGATCAAGTATAATAACAGTATCAATATGCAACACGAGTTCATGCCAAACACTGAGGCACTTCTTCGGCTCCAACTTTTGTATTTCCATTATTAGAATCCATTCATCTTCCAAACCAAACTAGGAGAGACAACTTGATACAAGAAGCGTGAACCTTACACTTTCAACTCCTCAATTCCTGGATTTAACGGTTCAAAAACTGCTTCCACTTCCTTTTCATTAACTTCGTCCACGCTTGGAGGATTCCACTTTGGATTCTGGAAAGATATAGTGAATCAGGACCATGAACAAACAAAAATGGGTGCCACTAGTAATGAAATGCAGCATGAGCTTCTTAGTCCCAAAGGCAAAGAAGAATAACAGACAAGCATAGACATTACAAGTGTGTGCAGGAAAAACACAAGCTCAAGAAATAAATTTAAATCATCAGTGTAAGAGAAGAATTCAACATATTTGGATATCATCAAGAATTTAAAGAAAGGAACGATGAAAGATAGAAGTTACAGCTCTTAACATATTTTTTAGAAATATTAAAATATAATCCTAGCAAGGAGCAGAGCATGAAGAGCCAACCTGATCCTTGTCAACCAAGACTGCCCGGACACCTTCAGCAAAATCATTTCGCAGGGATGACCGTAAGGCAATGCGATATTCAGTTTTCATAACACCTTTTAGCTGGAAATAATCAATGCAACACAAATACAGATGTTACTGAAAAGTATTGCTAAATGAAATGGGAGAGAGAGGGAGAGGCTCAGGTGGAGGAAAGAGGAAGGCGGTTGAAATGATATATCTCCAAACTCACCGTTGTAAATTCATTGCCATGTTTACCATATCCAGATGCAACTCTAGAAAAATACTTTTGTGTCAAGCAAAGAGAGAAGGGTGCACCCTTTCCAAGACCCTGCAAAGCCTCATTTGCCCACTCTACCACTGCAGAAATAAACGACATAAATATATATAAGTCGGTTTCAGTGTCATCCACCAACATCCACAAGAAAAGGTTTTTCAGGAGCACAAGAATGATGCATATGCAATTCACAATGATTGGATTAACCAGTTTTAATTAAGCTTACCTGAAGCTTCTGTACTCTGCTGATGTTTTTTAAGCTCTGCAATTATCTCCTTTACTGACTTATCTGCACTGAAGCATGATGTTATCTGAGGCAAAAGCAACTTCAACTGAGCTTCAGACTCAGGGTTACAGCTGTATTTCGCCAACAGCGCTGTAACAACCTTGTGTGGATCCTCTGAACTGTGTGGATAGTAAACATATCATTTACAATTTTGCTGAAAAGAAACCATGAATATTTATTTTGCTAGAACTATTACATCTCCAATTTGCCAAAAACATCAGTTTTGATTTATCGGCAGGAAACCATGAATTTTTTGTTGCTAATAGAACTACTGCATCTCCAATTTGGAAAAGAGCACACAACAAATTCAAAACCATTTTGTTCAGAAAAGGAGAGGAAATTGCATTGCAAACAGAAAGATGATATACAATAAAAACCAAGTCAATTGAGGAGTTGAAGATCAAACAATATTGGTTCTAAAAACTAAAATTCCTGAAGGCATGGTTTTTTGACAAGCTGATTTGATTTAGAATGTCAAGTAAATACTTCCCTCCCCCACCCCCTCATTTTAGGGACATGTAAGTTGCCACAATTTCCTTTAATAGAGAACCATATGATCTTAAAAGAAATTCAGTTCCACTCAAAGAAAAAATCATCAAACTAGAAACATGATCAGAGATATACAAGGTAAAGGCTAGAAGGGCCTCCTTCAGTGAACCTAAATTCCCAGATGGCACATAGTGTGTTCCAAGACCCACATATAGAGCATCTGAAGGTGTTGATATCCTTTTCCCAGTCATTCCAAGATAGGCACCTGCAAAACACTAAAACTGTAAATGACGAGTGCAGGGAAGCAACTCGGAGGGGGCAGAAGAGAGCGAGAGAACTAAACTGGTCTTTGTGCATGACTGTGTATGATCCAATGAGTTTAGCTTTAGGAATTCAGCATCTCCAAGAAATTATATACATGATTAAAATAACCCTCCTACCCTCCCAGTTCTACCACAGTGCTTCTCGTTTAACATATAGCGTCATATTAAACAGAGCCTTTTAAACCATTTTTGCAACTCGTAGAGCTTAGTTTTAGAGTAAAAGAACCATACCAACAGAGCCCTCCCCTGGAGTTTGTGCTGCTATATATGAAAATCCAACATCCGGAAACAGGCCAATTCCATTTTCCGGCATAGCAAGAACAGTCCTCTGACCCAGATTTATGCAAGAACAAAACATAAGAGAAAGAAATTTGTAAACCTATTACAATTTAAAATACAAGACAATATACTTATCTGCACAGGAAGGAGATTGATCTGTACCTCAGTTACCACTCTGTAGCAACCATGGCCAGATAGGCCAATTCCAAAGCCCATTGTTACGCCATCCATGAATGATATATAAGGCTTCTTGTACTCTGAAATTTTGCATATTAGAGAATACTCTGCAGTGAAGACCTGGAAAAGATGCAGCAGAATAAGGCTACATGACAAGACTATTAATTTCAGATGTTAGGGTAAATGTAAGGCACCAAATAACAGAGCACTAATGAGAAACATCATAGCATAAACAGATGACTTCCCGATAAGAAATGATGTCTAATCCAACAAGCATGTCATGCACATATGGGAAATTCACTCAAACTACAAAGTACAAAATTGAGAATTGATCATCAAACATGCAGATGAATGGTGCAAAATACTAAATGCTAGTCATCCCCAAGGCAAAACAATCAATGTGCAGAGGTACCATGCTTACATTCTATCATGTCATCAGCTACATCTTGCAAATGTAACAGTAGCTCAGCTTTAATTTTGACACATTTACAAAATAAAACACTTCAAACATATCTTGAAAGTACAAAGCACCTGCAGCAGAGCAGTTCAATTTTAAATACGCTCCTATTCACATGAGAAAAAGCAAATTTCATCTGGAAACCAAGCAAAGCAACCATAGAGGCAACATTATGAGATGAATTATGCAAGTTGTTATTACACGCAAGCATCAAAGATTTCCTTTCCTTTCCTTTCTCTTTCTCAAAATTAAAAAAGATTCATATCACTTACAATTATTTTCACAACAGTTCTATAATTATTAATCCCAATCCCCAACCATCCCCACTGTTAGGGCCCATTATGTGGGGCCCACAAACCCCATAATTGTGGATGGTTGAGATTTCAGATTTGCATACAACTCATTGTAGGAGATATGAAAAGAAAAAGAGGGTGGTGGGGTTTCAAATTGAGGAGAAGCATGAAGTTTAAACGGTACCATTTTCTTTTCTTTATAAGCAATCATAAAAGGTTTTTGGAAGGTTGAATGTATCAGAGCCATGGTAATAATATTAAAAAATTGGAGAAACATGGTAGACATCTTTGTTGACTTGATTTTAACAAATTGAAAATGTTTATAATTATAATGGTATATAATTTAACCTCAATCATATCCGAGAGTGTGTTTTTGTATGTAATCTGCTTCACATCACCACCTGCATATAAGCTAAGATCTAAGTTATTAATTAGAGAAACATTGGGTGCTTTAATTTAAGGAAAGAACACCACATTGAATCCAAAAAAAAACGAACCAGAAGAAATAGAAGTAAAAGGATATCACCCTTCAGCCCCCCCAACACACACCAAAAAAATAAGGAAAAGAGGAAGAAGAATAACTAATTAAGGAATAATGAAAACAAGTTATAGCTTTCAACAGTCTATTTAGCAAGTAACAATAATAATTAAGTAAAGCAAGCTGGCAGGAAATGTTTGTGGCACAAGGCATGCAGTTACAGATGGAAGGAAAAGGAAACCTTTGGCACAAGAGGTGTGTTTCTGTCCTTTTGGATTTCACCAACAACACCTTTAATATCCATTCCTGCATTACCCATAAATGGTTAGCCCCAAAAACTCCCCTAACACTAGCAACATGAAAAATTGCCTACGAGGGTAGCAATATGCAGTTTTCATTACAAACAGCATCTAGAAATGCTATTTTAGGTGTATCTTTGCCCTGCCAAAGAAGAGCCTTAATTTCTCTTCAAGTACCTGCACAAAAGGCACGCGGTGAGCTGCCCTCAATCAGAACACATTTGACCTTCGGATCTGATTCCCATTCTTCAAGAATTTGCTTGTACTTGATATCCATATCTGCATTATCAGAATATACACACATCATTTACAAAACTCATCTGTGAACTCTTGATTCATACCAAATCCAAAGAAAATGCCACAAGACTATAAAATTACACTAGCATATTTGTCCACTAATTCTTAACAAGTGCTAAATTATGTGGACACAAAAAAGATTCTTCTTGCACTCTGACATGTCACAGGAGCGTTACAAACTTCTTCAAATATACTCATCTCCAAGTTAACTTAGCTTCCAATATCAAATATTAGCAATTATTGAACAATGTCTTACTTTCCTTCTTTAACTCTCACTCTTTTGACAGCTTTAAAACTTTATCTTTACATTATCAAGGGGAATATTGGTAATTAAAAATCGAGCTAGAACAGATCTTCCAATTCGAATTCGCTTTCACTAAAATCAAAGTTAATCTTTTAACTCATACAAGAACCTAGTAAGTTTAAATAGTATTTAGTAAAAAAGGAAAAATTTAAATGGAAATAAAAGAGAAATAACGAAAGGGACCTAAATTCATGGCGTTGAGGGCTTTGGGACGATCGAGAGTGATGACCGCAACGCCGTTCGGATAAACGTTTCCCTTAACGAACTCTTCAGCGCCAGCCATGGTGGAGAAGTTTCTGTCACGACTAGAGAGCGAAACGTTTCCCAGAAACGATCTCGAGGCGTCACTGTAAATAGCAAACCGGAGGGAACGAGGAGCGCAGCTTGGAAAGCGAGCAGTGGCGGTAGCAGCCGATGTTGCGGGGTTGTTTGGGAACAAGAATAGTGGAAATGTTGAAGAAGATTTGGTCACTAGTTTACAAACTGAGACCACTGAAAAGCATTTCATGCTTTCCCGAGTTTAATTTCGCTTTGATGACTGTGACTGCTTCAAGTAAAAGCCAGATGATCTCGGGGATCTTTTGCCCGTACGGTTCGCCTCGAAGACTTCCTGGTACAGTTCCGAAAACATTGGGCCAATTGGGCCATGATTATGTTTTTTGATTGAACATCAACTCCCTCAGCGTTTTCCTTGGGACTGCATAGACAATTTGGGTTGGAATCGGGGCCGGGTCGGTTCTGGTTCATATTGAAATCCCACCTCTCCGAATCCGCTTGAAGTATGAGTTTAAAGTTCCACGTTAAACCATTTCTCTTCTTTTCTTTTCGGTTAGGTTCAAAAAGGATTAGCTTAAATTAGGGCTTATCATTGTTGATAATGTTTTGTTTCAATAATTGAGAAAAGGTCCTTCCTGAATGGCTTTCTATCAAATTATGATTTGGATTTTATCCTTCAATCTCTTAATTGATTTTTTATATTTTAATAACTTTTTAGTTGTAATCTCATAAAAGGAAATTAGGGTTTATGATTTTGTTTCAATCTAATAACTTCTTTGCATTTGTCTATGCTTTTTTTTTTTTTGGTTGTCTATGGGTTTGAATACTATTAGATTTTTTATTCGAAATTTTGGACCCATCCTCTTACCTTTAGGATAGAAACAAAACTACAACCACAAAGTATGTTCAACCATATCAAGACAATCACAATTGCTTCCTAAGTAGAATGCTGATAAAAAAGGTTCAGTCCAAAGGTACCAAAACTAGAAAAAAAGAAGCAAACCTAACATTACTGATAGAAGACTAGATTTTACAGGCCAACCACCTTCTTCCCTACATCCCATGAAGTCTTAAATACACAACACTATATCCCAATCGGGGCAATGGGCAATTATTTCTGACCTTATCTTCTTTATGATCAAATCTCAAAGCCTAAAACTCCACCTAGCACATCAAGGAACTCAAGATGTGCAGTCAACTGTGGGAAATGGCCGTCAGCCTTGACAAACTCCACAGTTGATTTCCCTTTGATCTTCTTCTGCATGTAGTAGGCAACTGAGCCTGGCACAACAAAGTCACTGGTGGTCTGAATGATGGTGCATGGGGTGGTAACCTTGTCGAGAATATCCCTCTCATCAGATCGAAACACTGTTTTTGCTAAGGGGAGTGCAAATTCGTGTTTCATCCTCTTCAAGCATTTGGCAACTTTTTCAACGGAGAGGGGATCGTTGTTGTCCACAACAAGAGTAGGAAAACTCGAAGTCCAATTCTGATAGTTGCATTCTACGTCTGAGAGGAGGCTGTCAATAGCTGCAGCCTCAAATCCACCTTCATAATCATCTATATTAATGTACCTGTTAATTAGTAGCATAAGAAACATAAACTACATAAATATTGAGAATATCACACAGGTTAATTGACAAATGAATACACTCTTCACCAGTTATCAATTAACCCCTCATATATAGTATTAGAGTATAATTTAAATATATATTTTAGCTGACAAGTGGACCAATTTTTCATATCTCAGGCCGGCATCAACACTCAACAGCATATAATGTTTGATTATGAAGTAACTAACCTATCACAGATTAAAGCTCATACATATATATATCCAAGTTTGTTTTGGCTTGCTATATGAAAACGTCAAATCAAAAGAAACTAAAAAGAAAGACAAGTTTTGATATGTTAGCTAATCGAATCCAAAGCCTTTGCATGTCCTCATGCTTGTCTGGTGACCAGTACTCATCGTATTATTGAGGACACAAATAGACATACTGATATGTTCATAACATTTTCAGAGTTGCAATCCACCACACAAATTTTTGAAGCACAAAAGTACAACAAAGAACAAAGCCCTTTAAATCTACCATAGCCGACCCAGATCCTCCTGTCCACATGCTTTGCTTCACAGTTTCTTGAAGACAGAAAATTTAGACGTCTAATCACAGCTTTATCATTGATTTTATACGGTAAAAAAATTAAAACTTTTCAGCTAGTAGCTAAGGTCATGTGTTACTTGCATGTCGAGGAAGAAAGAGAAAAGATGATTAAAAATATAAAACGGATGAAAAGGAGGAAATGGAATAACCGAAAGAGGAAAAAAGAAACAGAAATAGAAGAATATTTATTACTAGGTGTGGCAAAGCATTGAATCATATGTCTTTTTGGCTTAAAAGAAGAACCTGATTATGATACATGCTTCAAACTGTATATGCAAGCAATTAACTGGATCAGCTGCGGGAAGGCTAAGTAAAAGATATAGTAGAAACCAGAAAGAGATGTAATTTTTCTAAAACCATTTTTTTTCTTCGGAAAAACAAAAAAAGAGGAAGAAATATACCTAGGAGAAGCTCCAACGAGTACGAGCCTGTTAAAAAGTTCAGGTCTTTTAATGGAAGCAATGCATCCTATCATACCAGACATGGAGTGACCAACAAAGACTGAGGATTTCAAGTCAAGCTCATCCATAAGAGCTATTAAGTCACTAGCAAAGGCATCATAGGAAGAGTATTTCAAAGGATCAAAGAGGTTGGGATCTTTTACAGCTCCTGAAAAGAGCCAGTCAAAAACGACAACCTGGTAATGCTGTGTCAAGTAAGGAAGGATTTTGTCCCAGACAGATTGGTCTAGTCCAAACCCATGTGAAAGAACCATGGTCTCACTGCCAGAGCCAATTATTCTTGCATTCATGGCTGCTTGAGGACTCTTTTCTAGTATAACCATGTTTGGCAGAAATTAAGCAGCAGGATATATAGATTGACAGAGGGCGTTGGGAGAGAGACAGAGGGGAGAGAGGCCTGAAGCTGAATTTGGTGTTGTCTGCTGTTGGTCTAGGCTCTGTTATATAGGAAAGAGGAGTGGTTTAACTCAGTAAATAAAAGAAGAGAAAGAGATGTTAACCTTTGGGCAAGAGGCGCAGTAGAAGTCTTAATCCATCATCAAAAACCCCACCTAGATCATTAAATGAATGATCTTCTTTTTTTGGTGGTTCAACCTTTTGGAGACCTTTAAAAATAGAACCATTTAAATCTAAAGGCATTAATTAGGCATGGAAAATACTAATGAAATGAAAGTTTTAGCTGGATTGAGACCGTTAACAAAAAGCTAATTTACTATTCCTCCCATTTACAAAAAGCTTTTCTTTTGGGTAATATACAACATTTATATATGTGTTCTAGGGCAGAAAGTTCACATGCAAAGAAGTTTAAAGCTACCTTGTCAGTGGGTCACAGAAGAGCCTGTTCACCTGTAAACCACAATATATATATATATATATATATGTATGTGCATGATGATTAGCACTAATTTGTTGGTAATGTTCAGCAAAATGAATAATTAACTATGTGATTAAATTAAGAAGAGTCAATCTCGGCACCAGGTCAGCTTCGAATTTCAGCAATTGCTGACTGCTGCATGAATATGTTTTATGGAAAATTAGACATCAAATTTATCAGAGTGGTTGGGATCGTTTGCTCATTTTGACTTCTGGGATAATATCGCTGCTAAAGAGAGGCCCACGGCGAGGCTATCCTCATTCCTCCATGAGGAGCGTTTAACACTACCTTAAATGTTTCATTCTGCTTCACTCATAAAAAGAAACCATTCATAGTCTAAGAATGTGTTTAAATTGGAATGCATGAATGTGACAATATTGCACTGTCTACATAAGTAAACCGACACACATAGTACTCCTATTAAGCATTAAAATACAAATTAACATTAGAAGAAAGTTAATTAGATACAAAAGTACCATCCTTATTCTAGATATAGTTCTAGTTGTTATCATCCGCGCTTTCTTCTTGTATTATCAAAAGAAGATCAATCATTATAATTTATGGACTTACACAAGCAATATTTATTTCTGTTAAAATTAAGAATTTGAGATATACATATATGTATATATAGAATGTCATTTTTTTTAATTCGTTCAAGTGGATGTATAATCCAAAGAAAAAAAAAGAGAATCATTGACAATATTGTTATTAGCTTTAGAATTTTCTCAAGTAAAAACAAAATAGAGTAAAAAGGAGCTTGCAGCTTTTCTTTATCAAGAGTTGGATTGAAGAAAGGGGAGGGTAACAAGAAAACAAAGAATAAGGGGAAGAGCCTGGGGTGAGCCGCCCTGGTGGGGCCAGGACGGAGAGAAAGCAGAACCACAAAGAAATGGTCGAGTGGCGCAAGACAGGTGGAGGAGAGATGAGTTGCAGACACAAAAGGACCCGGTTGTCTTGTAGTGCTTTATTTTTTTGGATATTGAGAGTTGAGTGATAAGTCCAAGGCTAACCTTTTTCTCCCATTAAAGTTGTTCTGCCCCACCACGTTCTCCCATTCCCACCTCATTGCTGGAAAATCGTACCTTAACTTTATCCTACTATTCCCTCCAACTGTCCCATCCCTTTATTTTACTTGCAAAGTTGCCACCTGCTCCCATTTCATTCAAAGGTACCAACACTTCAAACACTTCACTTGATTGAATTTAATATTCTATTTTCCACTTCTTGAAAACACATATGAATATTATATAGATCTTGTAGAAAAGGTAACCATTTGGATTTACACATCAATTTCTTTTGCTATCTATTAATAAATATACATTATAGAGTACAAAATTTATGAGAGAACTAGCTATGTTACTTATTTTATTTTAATTAAATTTTAATCATATAAATAGGATTCTAATTTTGTCATTAGTACAACAACTTTTTAATAATTAATAGGGTAATGTTTATGCAATCATAAGGTTATAATCCAAGGTCCCGCAGAATTTGATGCCCACAGATATGAATGAAAATCCAGCAAATGTTTCCCTTGCCCTTAGTTTAACGATTTAATATGGTCCAGAAAACCAGAAAACAATGGACAGTCTCATCTGTCTTTGTTCTAGGGATTAGGGTCATTAAAAACCCCTGAATTTATGTGCAAGACATGAGAGATTGAGAATGAAAAATGGCAAACCAACTAAATTATGTGGATGGCAATGGAATAAGTGGTTTTGAGATAAAGCTAATTCTAGTGTCCTGATCTACAATTGAGGCAAAACCAATTTCTGGGTTTCCACCAACGAAAGAGATTGCAATATCCTCCAAGGTATTTGTCAAATTAAATATTATATATATATATATATACACACATCTATCTCATTAAATTGCTAAAAATAATAACGACCAACTTGAGGTTTTTATTTTATCAAGTATAATTTTAAAAGGAAAATATCTTTAAATTCAATTTGTTAATTGAATATAAATATATATATATATATGGGCCTACTACTAAATTTAATATGTGCTAAGTTTGGGTTCTTATTAAAACTTTGACGATTGCCATAATTACATGTTAATTCTAATTCAAAATAGACAGATAGCAGAAAGTCTTTTGGAGTAGTTTCCTTGCAGACCCACCAAAAAATCTTATGTTATTATGCAGTAGTAATTAAACTTCAAGACTCTCAAAAACTTTATTGAAATATGATGAACAATAATAATAATGGCAACCTCACGGTGATGCAATGATGACAAGCCAAAAAGGTTCTAGTCGTTGTAGTTGCTGCGCTGTTGGATGGGAATTTTTCGTATGTGCCATTAACTTCATCAAGAGTTCCTCTGCATGAAACCACCATGCTTTAAAAAAAAATCCTTGTGTGAAATGATTCAGACGAAAAGGAGCCCTCATCACGTATGGCTAGCTTCTTCCAACATTTCCAGCAGTTAGCAACACAGGGACATGACAACACCTAATGGCGACAATGAAAAGGCATTTATCATTGTAGCAGATTTTGATTTTAATTACATTTCTTTAGTTAATACATATGTAATATTTTTATTAATATATTTTAAAAATATATAATTTTAAATCAAATTTACTATAGTGCATGAAAAGATCGACAACTTCGAGGCTTTAAATCTTGTTGTGAAAGAATAGATTAATTGAGGTTTAGATAGGTTTTAATTATATAATCAACTTATGTACATCACTATTGTATTTTTGTTTCCTTCGAAAAATGATTTGCATCAAGCGTGATCCCCTTTACATTAAAGAAAAATTTCAATGACAAGACAAGAGTAACCTTTATAAATAATTTGTCCTTATTCATATATACGACAAATATCTACTAGCCCAAAAACCCCTGACATATTAATTTTATAATTAATAATAAAATACCCTAAACTAAGGGTAGAGGTATTTGGCGTGTCTGTGGATGATTACACGGAAACACAGACAAATGCAAAAAAGCCAGATCCAGAACAACATTTTCCTTTCCTTAGATTATTGACGCTGCCTACCATATAAAAAAAATATTATTATATTAATATATAGATGTCATTTGAAATATGCGATCTGAATTTCCAGAGGATGGGATATGGAGGGCCCAATGTTGTTTGTAATTGACCCTATCTTTCCCTTAAACTATTTAGTATTTTTTTTGTTCTTGTTTGAAAATAAACTAGTATATGATTATATATATATATATATATATATTATTGAGAAGCATTAGATCTTTTTAATTTTTACAAATTTTTTTATTTTATTTTGACATAATATTTATAAAAAATAAATTATTTTAAAAAAAATAAATAATGTATTATTCTTTTATTATATTTCATTAAGTTTTTATATTTTTATTTCGAGTTAAATAAACATTTATTATTTACAATTGATTAATTGTCATTAGCTAACATGTTGATTGCTATTTTTCATATCACGTAGTACTTGTGTGGAGGATGAAAAATATTATATAGTTATGTTATATCATTATCCGTTATGAGATGTTGATAAATGATTAACTATTAGTTAAAATATCTTATTTTGTCTAAAATAAAAAACAAGAATTGGATTAAATATAATAAAAAAATAAAAATTTATATAAATTTTCTTAAATAATTCAAAAAAATTAAATATTATATTTTTTATTTTTAAAAATTAAAAGAGTCTGTCGAGACCCAAACATTTTGTTTATATTCGATACAATTGATTAGACTAAAGAAGAAGAAGAGTAAACATGTGTATGTTTATTTTCTTTGACATATATATATTTATGAGTTTTACATTTGAATTTATTTAATTTTATTATTATGGACGGGTGGAGATCGAATTAAGTACTATCTTTTACAAAGGAATAGAAAATGTAAGGTTTCTTCAAGAATCTTTTGTTAAATCTATAACCAACCCCACCATTATAAACTTGATTTGATTCTTAATTGTATAGATGTTTTCATCTATCGCATTATTGCCCTACCCTACCATTAATTATAAGCCCCATTTGGTTGTTAAGTGAACTACATGTTTCATGGCCCTAAAATATCTTATTGTATTATATAGTACTTATGTATTATTAATCTCATTTACTAGTAATTCAAACTATTGTAAAAATGACATTTTTGACTTATTGCTTTGTGCAAATTAAATTCTTTATTATAACGAAACAATTGACTTGTTTAAAATACGGGAAATTGATTTGTTGTTTATAACTAATAGGATATCTTATTAATTAGAATTTGAAACTTCGACTTTAAGATAAAAATAATAAGACTTATAAAATGAGCAAAACATATCATTACAAAAAATTAAGATCTAATTAATCCACTAATGTACTGTAAAAAATGATGAACTGTCTCTAAATATGTGTCTCATCTCTTTAAATCAAAGTTCTATGTTAGTGTCTGAAATAATATTTATATATAGAGCTGTCAATATGGGCTGACCCGACTCAACCCCGCTCCAGCCCTTGTGGGTTAAAAAAAATATTGATTGGGTGGGCGAACTCATTTTTTATATGAGTCATCAAAATCTCAACTCAGCCCATCCCTTGTTAGTTCATAAGTTGGGTTAGATCAATCTATTTTTATTTTTTAAAAAAAAAATTAATTTTATAATTCTACTTGATAAATTTTTTATTAATAAATTGTTCTATGATTTAATTCATAAATTGAATAATAAAAACATGTTACAAATAAACAAATTACACCAAATATAAAAAAATAAATAAATTACATAATAAAATTTAAATCTTTAACACAAACTACTATCTCATAAACATAAGTATATAACCAAATAATAAAAATTTCAAGACTCATTTATATCCTTCTCGATCTTCATTCTCAAGTAAAACATTTAAATCTTGTTTAGACAATAATGATGTCTCAAGGTCTGAATTATTATCAATTTATCATCTAATATTCATTACCATAAAGAAAAAGAGATAATAAGTTTTAATCTAAATTAAAATTTTAATTTGACAGTGAAGATTAAAGATATGAAAATATATAAATAAATAATATTATTGATAACTAAATTATTAATATTATATAATTAAATATATAAAAGTATTAAATTAATTAAAATTATTTTTTTTTGACCTATAAGACTGGCCCTACGCCAGCCAACATTAACCCACTGATTTGACGGGTTAGTCTATTTAAGCTCAGTTCAAATATGGGTTAAAATTTTTCAACTCAATCCATCTCATATTTAATAAAAAATAAACCGACCCGATGAACTCGATTTATTTTAACAAATCTATATATATATATATTTGAAAAAGTAACCCCATAAAACATGGCAAAGAAACATAATTGAGGCAATTTGTCACAATAAAAGGACAAACAAAAAGGGCAAACATTAGGGCACGCGAGGCTCGAACATGGGGGGAACATATCTGATCTCCACTCCCAAATGGCAACCAGACATGAAACGCACGGCTGTTGACCAAATTAAATGACTCTAAGACTTCCATTCCATTCCATTCCATGCTATAGAAATATATATATATATATATATATATATATGTTGGTTTTCTTACAATTTAAAAAAATTGTGAGAGTTCAAAGATTGAGTAACAGGAAATCTTGGACATTCTTGTCGATGTCTCAAATCAGTTTAGGTAAAAGGGCACATCATCATAGACTTTGGTGTAAAATCAAACAAACATGATAATTTGCCTAAAGCCAACACTTGAGCTTATCTTCCTTTTTCCTCCCCATTAGATTTTTTGAATGAATCATGCTAGTACTATAAATTTTGGTCAGAGTTACTGCGCCCCGACATCACTGTGATGGATGCGAGTAACGATACACACATGCGCATGCGCGCACAGACAGCATGCGATTTGAGAGATTCGTTTTCCACGTGTAATGATTTAACATCGAATAACCACCGGTCTATTCGTTCTTGTTTCTTTTATAACACCAAGGAAAAATTTAAACTTTAGAGTAATTACGTGTCAGATTGGAAAGTAATCTTCTGTTTGGCTAACTCGGGTAATTTTGTAAATGGGATGAAAAGATATGAAATTAAATAGATTTGAATTTAATTTTTTAATATTTTGTATCTAAATTATTAATATATTTAAAATATATTTAATTAATCATATTAATCGTATTATCATATTTAAATATATATAAAATGACACATTTATCAATTCATTAAAATTAATAATCAAATATTATTTTAGTTTATTATTATTTTGTTTTTATTATATTTATTAGTCTTATTATGTTAAATTTTATTATATTTGATGTTATTATTATTTTATTATAATTATTAATTTTAAATTTAAATAATATAATTATATATAATTATAAATATTTTTAATTAATCGTATTAAACGTGCTTAGAAAAAAATTATATTAATCATTTACTCATATTTGTTAATCATATTGTATCGTAGAAAAAAAAATTTATATATTTATATAAACGTATTAGTCATATCGTGTTATATGATTATTAAACGCATCTATAAATGAAAACACAAATAATTATTAAACAGTTATCAAATATTTATATAAATTATGCATTTCAGATACTAATATAAATAATTATTCATGTTATGTTTATATTTATTCATATAATTATTAATATTTTATATTAATATGATATAATTAAAATATAAAATTATAAATTACTAAATCTACGTTTGACATTAGATGTTTTTGTTCATGAATTGTTTTAATGGTGCCTACAAGGGCATTTAAGAGATCAAACATACGTAGTGGCTCGGCAGCCCAACACCAAAAGCATGATGGGTCCCTTAAAAAGGATCCGTTGAGACAAGGCAACGCTATTTACATCATCCCTCAAAGTTGCAAGAATTGAAAGATCTCCCGTTTTGGGGGAAACCCATGTGCTAGCTGATTGTGTTCGTGGCGTTGTATATACTACGTGGTAATTGAGGAATGTGTAGCCTTAGCCTTTCTAGATTCCGTAGCTTGTTTCTGGTCAAAGAACCTCGCATGACTTCCATCCAGCCTTTAGATATGTATTAAACCTTTCCAGAAACTTGTTGTAAAGTCATGGACGTTGTTCATGTTGTACTTCAAACCCTGGAAAGAGCAGGCACGATGCATGACTTAAAACACCCACCTCACGTTTTGCAATCAGCCAGGCGTGGGTTGCACTGTCCATATGGCAAGCAGAGCACTACTAAACCACAACCCTGGAGCTATCCAATTTCCCAACTGCCTAAAGGCTGAATGAATCTTATTAAGCAAGAGCATTGACTATGGAAAAGACATATATTTAAAGCCAAAAGGGTGAAAAGGAGAGGGGGGAGCACCAGCCACCAGGAGCGCAATAAAGAGGGGTTCCCCAAGGACAGCGGTTGAAGACATTGACAGTTTCCTGAGGCATCAAAATTCTGATCCCTCTAGATTAGACGTCCCTAAGTCGTAAATAGCTATTGCTCATTAAATGGGCGGTTCCTAACGTTGTAAATGCTGATGACGGATGAGAGCCAACGAACTTCTTTAGTGCCTACATACTTTTATTTATTGCTTTTTTTGTTATTCTAGACATTGCCTCTTGTGAATATATACTGCCATTATTGCTGCTGACTGTTCTTGCCAGAGTTTTTCATCCCTCTCTTTTCTTGTTTCACACTTATGTTGTGAACTGCTAATTCTACCAATTTTTACACTTATACTTGAATGAAATTTTGTATATATTATGCTGTCCTCGTATCTACCTAGCGAAAGTTGTTAACAAAATAATAAAGTAAATGGTAATAAAAATTAATCTGAGATGTGATATATTGTTTTTAAAGATAATTTTTGTTTTTTTTAAATATAATACCCAATGTAAAAAAATTGTAGTATTTATCTTTTAAAATTTAATAGACTTTTTTTGATTAATTCACACAAACTATCAAAAATATTAAGAATAGCAAGAAATTAAAACTGAAAAATAACTTCAGAAAGTAGAGAAGAGGAAAGACTTATGTGTTTTGAATTACTTTGATGCACAGTATTTATAGATTGAAGATTGAAAAGAATTAGAAAAGACACGATACAAAAAATTAGTAAAATATTTTAAAAATAAAATCGGTGACCAAATCAAGTTATTTTATATTATAACATTATGTAATATTTATAATGGTAAATGATTTGGTCAAAGATTAATTCTTCATTCAGTAAAAAGATTGAGTCAAATAAGGTAAAAAATAAAGTTGATTACCAAAAGTACCAAATATCACTTGAACTTAGTGCATGTGTACACTCATGTGCAGAGAGAAAATCTGCATTTTCTTAAAGTTTGACTCGTTTTCTTAAGATTTGGCTTGATCTCATGTGCGCATGTGAACCCATTTTCTTTTTTTACTCATAACAAGTTTATAATGAGTTTGTTTATATAAGCATCAACACGAAAGCTTTTATGAAGGATGGATAGGAGTAAATTTTACAGAAACATCTGGGTATTCTATTTTTGCTTATAAATTGTGGTTTACATTTCAATGCTTGGGTTGATTACTAACTTCAAGCATGTAAAACGTCTAAATCATGCAATAGATTTATTTGTTCATTACTTAGTGTAGTACCTTAGCATTCCAGCAATAGTTCAGGATCAGAAATGCAAGTGAAATAAATAGCGGAGAGTTCTAGAAGAGACAAATTATACATCAGGATATTCAGTCCAGTAAACATATGCCTAGAATCACATTCATGATCTATTTTTTACAATTTGAAGTAACTGGGTTTCAAGTCATGTCCTAGTTTCGCTTTGGTTCTCATTTGACCTGATAGGCTTGTAGGAGAATACAGGCATTCTTTGTTTGTTGGAATCAAGTTGTTGATCGGATACGGCAGAGAGGAAAAAATTATCATGATTGAACAGATGTTGGTTGAGGAAAATCAACTAAACGCTCCATCATCTGGAGCTGATCGTACGGAGCAATCTGTGAAATGATTAAGAAATTAAAAAAAAAAATTGATGGTTATACATAAGAATGAAAAATATAACCGCTTATACTAACTTTGTTAGTAATCATGTTATATTTGCATTAGTTGTTTGCTCTATTTCTAATGCATAATACATGAATATCCAGGTATAATGAGATGACATAAAATACTGTACCAACAGTTAATCCTGCATTCCTGCTCCATATGATTTTCATGAGTAGCTAAGTCAATGCTGGTGGGTAAATATCATATATGTGCAGAATTTATTAAGCTCAACATGAAAAGAAGGATTTTCCGAATGTCAGTGAGGGCAATTCTTCAACTGAAAATGCACAAGAAATGAACTAGTCACAGGTTTATCCCTTGTTAACCACCATCTTTTTTAGAGTTGAACTGCTAGACTACCAGCCATTCCGTTTTATTAGAAATTGAAGATATTGAAGGTTAAGACAAATACAAGGAGGTGTAGTTTCCATACTGGCTACTCCCATTATCAGGTTTCGTCCTAGTTATGTAATAATGTTTCAATTGAAAATCAAATTTGTTAAAACCTCACTGATGCCAGGTTGTTAGTTATGTTATTGTTGTTGATATTAGATTAGTCATGAAGTTGACAATTACTTGCCCAGTAATAGCCAATTCTTTATCGCTCTGCAGTATTGTGACAAAAATCATAGTCATTCATAGAAAAAGAAACATTGAATAAGTCCAAGTCACCTGGTTAAATCCATCTGGCCACGTTATTGACACAGCATAGTTTCCCATAGGCCGAATTTCCTCAGGTTCAATATCCTCTGGAATGTCACCATATTGGAGCTTTTGCTCCCCGGTCCACTCATCCTGTTTTGAACCAAGAAAAAGAAGACTGAAAAGGGAGAAAAAGGATGAAGCTGAATTTAAAATGAAAATTATAGAAGAAAGAGCACAGCACAAAGACTTGTCAAGGTCATTTTTTCTTCCTAGAAAGTAACAATTTTTTTTCTCCAAATCATTAGTCAAATGGTCGAGAGTAGCATTTAGATTGCTAGAAAGGAACATTTTGCTTGCTCAAATCTTTGGTCAAATGGTCCAACACAGGATCTTTATTGCTTCTACCATCTAGATTAATCTATTGACTTTGTTAAGGCTACAAAGTATATGGATTTGACTGTGGACCTTTTGTTCCTATTTTTATGGTCCTACACTACAATTTGTTTGTGACTTTTTTGATGCTTAATGACGTAACCAGCATTGTAAAGAGTCAAAATCCTATAGTACCAACAAAGCGGTTAGACAACCCGACACACAACCTTATCCTAAAAGACTTGAAGACATTTCTGATGCATTTCTTCCTATCTATACCAAAATATTAGATATCAAGTATCTTTATTTCTGTCTTGGCCTCCTGCATGTATCTGTGTCCTTGTAGAAAAAACACCCACGTACCACACTTTGGGCAGAGCGGTCATTCCGTCTTACTGTTGCAGGATGCAGAAGGAATTCTTCCTCTGAATCCGGTACCTTAACCCTTATTGCCTTAATGGATATGTCATACGTAACTGCTGTTGATACTAGAACCAAAGAGGATAAAAAAATTATCATTTTTCTTCATCAAGAGCAACTTGAAAGGGATCAGTTATATAGGAGACAACAGGTAGGTACCTTGCTGGCGAATTTTGGCACACTGTTGCACAACACAAACTCCAAGGTTCTGAAATGTCTTGGAAACTTCACCTTGAGGATCAGCCACCACTTCAGGTGTTCCACTATCACCAGAAGCAGAAAGCTGCAAAATTAAATGTAATCAACTATAAACTTGAGTAGGATTTCCAGCACATTCAACACATTCTATTTCTATGTTTAATACATAATGACAGAATGTAGTTAACAAGAAGCACATCAATGATCAATAATTGAGTAAGCCTTAAAACTGATATGCTTTGAGTAAATGAGTCTTGAGGCTTGCTCAGGAAAGTTTAAGAATCATGGAAAGATAAAATAAATGCTTACATACAAAGTTGTCTAACCTAGAGACACACATAATTAAGTACAGATGAAGCTTACTAGATATGCATCCTGAGAAAGAAAAGGAAAAGCTGATGCAATGATGCTTTCTGACCAATTAATAACAGTTAATTCAAATATGCAACAGAAAAATAAGCACTAAAGAAAATCATACAACATACTGTTGGTCTAATGGGAAGATCAAACAGATAAGGGATCCCAAACTGCTGGACGACCTGTAAAGGAAACGAAGTAATCAGTAATGCAATTTTTCTGTTGTACACAAATGACCTGAGTATCAGTACTTTAAATTATTTTACTATCTATTAGGAATGAAAAGTAACTTCAGGATAATGATGCATGCCTGAGAGCCCGAACCTCTGCCAAATGGGTAGTAGCGTTTCCCATCAGCATCAAAGTGGCACATATTTTCAACCACAGCAACACATGGCACCTATATGCATTAACAGCAACACAACATGTGAAGTTATGAAGCATAAAATTAAAGAAGGTTTCACCTACTGATAAACTTGCAATTCCTCTCTTCAAATATGCATATCGAAATATATCTAAAAGCAGGTACAATATATGATGCTGATGTTTCAATTTAAAGCTAAGCTAATAATATGCCATAAAAACATTTATGTCATATTCATCGGTTTATTTGTAAATTAACGCTAGGTTGTATGGAGAAAGAGGAAACCTTAAGCTTCGAAAACATACGAACTCCTTTGGCAACATCAATGAACGCTAGCTTCTGAGGGGTGGTAACAATAACAGCAGCTGTTAATGGGACTACCTGATATTTTCATTTTAAGCACCATTAAACACAATACTGTGAAAATTAAGAAAATATGATAGATTACATTACATGCAACAACTATAATAATATAGAAAAAGGGGATGTTGCTAGCTATTTTTGTCCACATGGGTATGCCTAACAATATGAAAAATCACTAGAATTTTATGTTAAAAAAGAAAGAAAAATATGTAAGATTAGATAGAAAATCTGGCATTGAGGGCAGAAATCATAGAAAAGAACCTGACATAGAGTAAGCTGGATATCACCGGTTCCAGGCGGCATGTCAATAACAAGGTAATCGAGCTCTCCCCTATAAATAAGAAGCAATCAGACTTTCAGAGTGAACATTGTAATGCCAGAAAGTTATAATTCTAACAAGATGAAATGATGCATATTTGTTAAACAATGCACAAACAAAATTCATACAGTTTACCAAATCTTGTAAACAACTCAAATAGCATATTCAGAATCATGTCATACCACTCGGCAGTTGTCAGAAGTTGATTGATGACCCCAGAAACCATTGGACCTCTCATTATTGCACGACCTTGTCCGGCAAATCCAAAGGATACCATTTTGACTCCCAAATATTCAGTCGGAATGATGGTTCCCTTTTCTGGGTTCTGAGTAAGATCTAAAGAGTCAGAACAACACCTATGTGCAAGTAAGATAAATGTGAAGTTCTGAATACTACCATCTCTAGCAATCGGTTTTCAGGGGAGACCATTGTTGGTAAACTTGGTCCGTAAACATCAGCGTCAAAAATACCAACTCTAGCTCCCATTCCAGCCAAAGTATATGCCAGATTTACAGCAACGGTTGATTTACCTACACCTCCCTACAGAGTTTCCACATACAGGAATGATGAAAAAAATTCAACACAAGGCATTGAATTTTACTTAGTTTAAGTTTCCTGCAGGAAAGACAACATGACTAGAAGGGCACAAAACATGTAAATATATTTACCTAGCGATGAACTAAGAAAGAAAGTTTACCTTGCAACTTGAAACTGCCACAATATTTGAAATTGTTTGTAGACCTGCTGGAAGTTGTCCAGCAAAAATAGGTTTCGCTGGTTGTGCTGACATGGTTACACTGACTTTACTGACCCATGGAAGCCTAGCCACCACCTCATTTGCTTGCTGCTCAAACTGTCATGCATCAAAAATCTTGTATTACTGTTTCAATATTGGAGCCAAAGATAATATATATTGCATTTGCAAAGAGGCAGGCATAACAAGAAGATGCATTGCTGAAAATAGTCTGCTATATATCCATAGAAAACAATGCGCCCAATGGACAAGATAAGAAATAGAAAGAAAAGTACAATGAGCTTCATTTTTCAAAGGAAGATCCACAAGTTCTTATTACTACTTAGTTTTGAGTGAATATATCAAACAAAAGTCTACCATTCCAAATATACATCAGTTCTTGATCAAAAAATGGTGATTGTGTCATTTACCATGTCCTTGATTGGACATGCTGGTGTTGTGAGCTCCAAGCGAAAGGAAACCTGAAATGTGAAGTTGAAACTTCTTAGCAGGTGCTTTTTTTCCCCTTTTTTCAATGTATTTTAAGAAATCTTCAACATATTTTCCAAGTGACCTCTCCCGAAGCTTCATCAATGAGCAGATCTTTCACAAAACCACAGGAGACAATATCTGTTCCAAAGTCTGGATCAATGATTTGAGACAAGGCTTTTAATACATCACCCTCAGCGGTTCCAATTGATGTGGCCGAAGAACCAGCTGCCACCAGTCAAATTAAAATTTAGTTGACTTAAAATAAAATCCTGAAAACATTTTAAGCAATAGTATTACTCCCATTGAACAATAAACCACCTATAGATTAGGCAAAAAATGGGGGTAGAATGGTTTCTTTGTGCGACACAGCAGTATGGCCACAAGATCACTTGGTCATCTCCTACCATCCTAACAACT